ATCCCTTTCCAACTGACCGAAGTCTCTAAATTTGTAATTCTAAATTTGAGATTTATTGGGATTTCAAATTAATTGATACTCATTAGGAAATGATTTTTGAAATATGAAATTTTCCAACTTTTTCCTTGGAGGAGGAAGGAGGTTGGATTTAATGAATATCATCAATTAAGGTGAATCCAGGGTTCGATTAGGGATAATTCAAGATTAGAGATAGCGCCACCAGTCCCCACTGAGAATTTCACTTTCCTTCGACGATAACTGAAATAATATTTCTCGAATTACAAAAAGCAGATCCACAAGATATAGATTAATTTTTGCTTGATTTTTTGAGCCAAACATTTTGGCACTTAGAATTACAAGCGCAGAGAAAGTACGGCTGAAACTTTCAAGTCAGAGGCGGCGGCCGAGCGCAGAACGGAATCCCTCATCAGGGTGTCTAGCGACCGGGAAAGTCAGGGAAGAAAAACGCAAAACCGGGGGAGAAGCGAACTCCCGTCGAAGATCGCGATTTTTTGCATAACTTTATGGCGCTTCGATACGCTGTGCAACAAAAAAAAATGACAAAAATGTCTCCCGGACGAGATAAGGTGATAACTATGTATTTTGAGGCGCTGAATCCGAATATGACCTCCGTTTTTTCCCATCACCCTCCAGTTTTCCGAAAAAGTCAATTTTACCCGGAAAAATGGCCATTTTGGGGCATTTTTGGTGTTTTTGCGACTATTACCCCCTGCAGAATGTAGGTAAAATTTTTCTCTGGTACGAAAAACTGCAATTACGATGTATTTTGAGCCGCTGAGTCCGAAAGTGACCTTCATTTTTCCCTGTTACCCCTCAGTTTTCCGGGAAAGCGACTTTGCCCTGGAAAATGAGCAAATTTGAAGTATACTTTTCATGCATGCCCTTTATTTGTATAAATTTTCCTGGACCCGTGGTACAGTCATTCTTGTGTGTTTTAAGCCCCTGGATCCGAATATGACCTCAGTTTTTTTCCATCACCCCCGAATTTTTCGGTAATGTCGATCTTTCAGAGCCTAAAGAGCCTCGCCAAAAAGTTGTGTTTTTTAGCCCCTTTTTTTATACCCGAGTTGGTCAACCGGACAGTGCTCAAATGAAAGCCTATGGTAAGGCAAACTTCCATGCAAAGTTTCAACTTGAAGTGACCCCTCGTTTAGGCTGTACAGCGTTGCCAATTTTCCAGTTTCATGTGCCAAAATTAAGGATATTGGACTATTAGTCCGGTGCATAAGTAGACTAGTACACCCGAGTTGGTCAACGGGACAAGGCTCAAACAAAAGATAATGGTAAGGCAAACTTCTAGGAAAATTTTCAACTTGAAGTGAAACCTCCTTTAGGCTGTACAGCATTGCCAATTTTTCATTTTTATGCACTATACTCAAGGAATACTGGATTCATCATGGTTGAACAGACTAGTAGAAGAATATGGTAGTAGAAGAATATGGTAAGGCAAACTTCCAGGAAAAGTTTCACTTTGAAGTGAAACCTCGTTTAGGCTGTACAGCGTCGCCAATTTTCCATTTTTATGTGCTAAAATCAAGGAATTCGGGACTAATAGTCTAGTGCATCATAATTAAACAGACTAGTGCATCTAAGTTTGCCTTACCATAATCTTTCGTTTGAGCCTTGTCTCGTTGACCAACTCGGGTGTACAAGTCTACTTATGCACCGGACTAATAGTCTAATATCCTTGATTTTGGCACATGAAACTGGAAAATTGGCAACGCTGTACAGCCTAAACGGGGGGTCACTTCAAGTTGAAACTTTGCGTGGAAGTTTGCCTTACCATAGGCTTTCATTTGAGCACTGTCCAGTTGACCAACTTGGGTATAAAAAAAAGGGGCTAAACTTGGCGAGGCTCTTTGTGTATAAGCTTTCCCGGACTCAAAGGGGATCAAAAATGTATTTTAAACATGTCTGCAACGTGTGATACAACGATTTCTATGTATTTTGACTCGCTAAACCCGAATATGATCTTGGATTTTTCCGATCACCCACGATTTTCCCGGAAAATCGATTTTCCTTGGAAAACTAAATTTCTACCTAGGTGTTTTTCGGACGATTTTCCTGTTGCGAGGAGTCTAAGAAATCTTCTGAGATCCTCTCTAGATCTTTCCTGCTGTACCTATTAAGAGCAGCTGAATCCAAATTTGATCTCTATTCATCTCTGACAACCCCTCGTTTTCTGGAAAGTCCGATTTTTCCGGGAAAAAAGCTTTTCCGAACCCTCCCCACCTCCAGGGAAATTTGAAAAATTTTCTGCATGTGTGATACATCGATTCTTATGTAATTTGAGCTGGAAAACCCGAATTTGACCTCAGAAATTTGTTATCACCCACCATTTTTACGGAAAACTCGATTTTTTGGAAAAAATGGTTATTTTTGACCATTTACGGTGTTTTTGCGACTGTTACACCTTGTGGAATGTGGGTAAGATTTTTCTTGGCTACAAATTAGATTATGCATTAGGTATTGTTAGTCCCTGAGTCCGGAAATGGCTTCTATTTTTTTCTATGAGCCCTCAGTTTTGTAGAAAAGACACTTTTTGCAGGGAGATTGAGTTAAATTGACTTATTTTAGTCGGGCATGGAAGTCTTATTTAAATAATTATCCTGGATCCGTGAAGGAGAGATTCCTATGTAGTTTTAAATGCTGAATCAGAATATGACCTCCAATTTTTCCTATCACCCTCCATTTTGTCGGAAAAGTAGATTTTTCTTGGAGACCGTGTTTTTTGGTATATTTACAAAATTTTCCCAGAAAATCGAGTTTTCCGTAAAAATGGTGGGTGATAACGAATTTCTGAGGTCAAATTCGGGTTTACTAGCTCAAATTACATAATAATCGATGTATCACGCATGCGGAAATTTTTTCAAATTTCCCTGGAGGTGGGGACGGTTCGGAAAAGCTTTTTTCCCGGAAAAATCTGACTTTCCAGAAAATGGGGGGTTGTCAGAGATGAATAGAGGTCAAATTTGGATTCAGCTGCTCTTAATATAGCAGGAGAGATCCAGAGAGGATCTCAGAATATTTCCTAGACTCCTCACAACCGGAAAATCGTCCAAAAAACACCTAGAAAGTTAGTTTTCTAAGGAAAATCGTGGGTAATCGGAAAAATCCAAGATCATATTCGGGTTTAGCGAGTCAAATTACATAGGAATCGATGTATCACACGTCGCAGACATGTTTAAAATACATTTTTGACCCCCTTTGAGTCCGGGAAAGTTTATACTTAAATTTAGGCTCTGAAAGATCGACATTACCGAAAAATTCGGGGGTGATGTAAAAAAATTAAGGTCATATTCGGATCCAGCGGCTTAAAACACACAAGAATGACTGTACCACGGTTCCAGGAAAATTTATACAAATAAATGGCATGCATGAAAAATATACTTCAAATTTGCTCATTTTCCGGGGAAAAGTCGCTTTCCCGGAAAACTGAGAGGTGACAGGGAAAAATGAAGGTCATTTTCGGACTCAGCGGCTCAAAATAAATTGGAATAGTTGGTGATCATACGAGGTAGATTTGGTAGATAACACGGTGATGAATGAGGAAGTAACTGAAAGAAACTCATATTTCCAATCACATGGTGTATTTTGCAGTTTTTTTTTTGGCACAAAGGGATGCGCTTCAGTGTAAAGGCAGTAACTAATAGAAAAGCATGAAGGGGGAAATGACGTTGACACAACTTGAGACGGAATGCATAGTCACTCCTTCAAAATATTCTCTCTCAAGGAAGTAGCCAATTTGTGGTTGACTTTGGGATCGCGATATTTCTGAGGATTTCTTAGAAAAGGAAGGTTGTAAAAAATGCTTGAACTGTACATCCTTCAATTCTGATGAAGAAGAGGATAATTCTGGTTTGTCATCATTAACAATCATCTGATAGTAATTAGTGTCCTTAGCAAGTAAATAATTAGTTGAAAGGTTATGTTATTTAAAGTAGATAATTTTCCAGTTGCCTCCAACTTCGTTAAGAACATGAAAGTGTATTAGTCGTTCACTGTAGGAAAAATAGGCAGTATTGGGAAGTTATTTCTGGTCCTCCAAAGTGCTTTTTTTGTTTCAATTTATTTATGAAAATTCATCTTTTGATCAACTATTGGATTCTCTTTTTCAGACATTCCAATGCGTGGGAGGAGGACAAGCTGGGGCCGTGGGCATGTAGGACCACCCACCGAAATAATTGCTCCACAACCTGCACAGCAACCTCCTCTGCAGCCTTTACCACAACCTCCTCTGCAACCAGCACCTGCATCGATTCCTCCACAGGAGCCATGATGTCTGGGTAAGACATCTTATTAATATTATTGTGGAAATTACTCACAGTATTAATATTTCCCATTCCTGAGGGGGAAGCTAGGGTTAGGAATTAAAATTTGCACCGTAGATAACACATTTCGTATCACAAGGTTGGCTTAGACTTGGTCGGAACAGTGGAACTGTTGCGGGAACAAGTTGATGAAGAAAAATGTTACAACGGTGAATGAAACCTTCAATGTTAATGCTAAGTAAATATGAATGATATGTGAATCCAAAGTAAATGCTAGAAAGAAAAAACTTGGATACTTGAGGCTTCTGACGTTGAAAGATTTGTTTACAGTTAAAACATTTTTGTTCATCACCTCTTTTCTGCAACTATCAGGGTCCGTTCTCTGAGTCGGCCAAGGCTCATGGTCAATAAGGTAAAATAGTAGAACAAACTTGAATGCAAAACCACTATACTTCTCCCAGAAGTTTAGGAGTGGTAATTTTAAAAAAATTAAAAAAGGGGCAGATTTTAAATAGAAGAGACTTTCAAAAGTAAGTATCTTTTTGCTGAAACTTCTACACTACTGCATTAAATTAAAATCTGTAAGAAACTGCTTATTGGTCATAATGTCAGTTTTTAACGAGCTATAGTATTTTAAATTTTGTTCAGGAGAATGGCAGAAAAGTTATTTTTTTGTGAACCCACCTCACCACCAAACGGGTTTAAAATTCCATGTTGGTACATCGGCGCAGCAACTACTCGGTGTCAAAGTGCGATCACGATTTTGTAACATCAGACAGCCACAATTCTTAGCTAAAGGTTCCTTTTTTATAAGATCACCAAAAATGCACCACAATGTGGACATCAGCGCGGTATTAGTTGTATTTCAGCTACTTTTTGTGAAATTGCTTCACAAGCTAGGGGGCTTTCGTATCAAATCATGGAGTTACCCAGAAATCTCGTTCATCTATAAGGAGTTGTATGCTGAGGGGATTAATAAGCTTGTCCAACATTACATTTTATCTCACGTCTTGTTTAAATTTCGGACGGACTGGTAGCGTGAAATTTTGGACCCATGTGGTCCGGAGGTGAGTTCACTAAAACAACTTTTTTGACATTCTGCTGAACCAAATTTTAAAGGAAAAATAAAACCTTGCTAGAAAGGGGACATCATGAGCAATGAACAGTTTTTTTCAGACCTTTATTTCATGCAGTAGTAAAGAAGTTATGGCAAAAAGATACTTTTATTTGGAACGACCCTCGTACATAAGTAAAGTTGCAATGGTTATAGTCAAAAAAAAATTACAAGTGGAATAGGATGTGCATTTCATATTCCTATTTTCATATGTTGGAATGTAGTAGGTTCAATTCATAGCAGTTCAAAAAACAAATTTCAGTTAAAGAGGCTGGTAATTTGTCAACAATTATGATGTACTTGAGGGGAGGTAAGGAAAGACTCAATACATCTAGACTATCCATAGCACAAAGGCTGCCATAACTTGGCTTAGAACCTCATTTTCTCTCCCTCTCCTGATATTTTCTGAGAACCAGACAATGATACATGTTTGAGGGGTATTTAAGAAAGACAGTTCGATGTCTACTGTTTTGATTGGTGGCATTTTCCACTGTGAATTATCACGACGAGCAATCATAATTGGCGACAGGGGAAGAACTTTGATTATTCGGGTACCCTCCTCATCGTTGCCGTTAGGGAATGATGCATGTTTATTTTCTAAAAGGGAAAAGAGAGTGTCTTTAATTTATTCACTCGTAAGAGGAACAGTAGGATCTACATTCCTCTGTCAGAGAATTAGCACTATTTAGCAGTTGCAAGGATAACATTTTAATTATAAAACTACAAGGAGTTTAGCCAGACCATTACTTCAAGAGGAAAATTGACGTGAAGTTTCTTTATGTGAGTTCAATGAAGCAGGACATTTTGGGGTGTAAGCTCCTCCATCTTGTGGCATTTTTGTCGAGGAACCTTTGAGCATTTTCAGAGGGGGTTAAATATTAGTCTCCTTCAGGTGCTTTCAGAGGATTAAGAAATCACTCTGTTCTTTAAAGAAACTGAAAATAGGGTTATATTTGGCCTTCAAAATAAATATGTATAGGAGGGAAAAAAAATAAATGATGCAGTAGATTTGCAGCTGATAATTAAGTTCAATTGTTTGCACAGTCTCCTAAGTCATTGTTACTGGACTGTGTCCAATTGATCTTGTCCATTGTCTTTTGGAAGGAAAAATCACAAGAAAAATTGTAATTTTACTAATTAATTAACTACTTAATTTTTTACTTTTTTTACTACTTAATTTTTTATTGGTTCCAGAATTAGGTTTGGCAATTGAGATGAAGAATTTTTACTTCCAACAAATCCGTTATCTAAGTTTTCGAACTTGTTATCAAAATTTATCAGTATTTTGGGAATCTCGCCCCTTCTTGTTTTTCATCTAATCAAATTTTATCTGAGAAAAGTTGTTCAAAGTAGCGGAAAATCAAAGTTTTTTTTCAAAGTTGGTCCAGGAAGAGCTGAGTGTGTTTCGGCATTCCTTTTTCATGAGTGTACACTCCCTACCAAATGAGGTTATGTTGTTAAACAGGATTACTGTTTTTAGGGGTTACTGTAATTCTTTTAATGAAGGTTCCTTCTTTTAATTATACTATTAAAAATTCGTGTTGCAGGAGAAATAACAATCAGTTCTGAAGAGGAGCCGCCATCCGCAGACACATTGAGAACTGGTAAGTGAAAGTATTTACAACATCGGAACTTGGCAACCATAAAAATACAGATTTTATCACTATTTTATCAGATGAATAAAGGAAAGAAGGGCACAGTAATTAATTTCAAGGTGTATTTGTTTGGATCCAAATTGTTGATGGGTTGCAGAAACACAGAATTTTCAGAGGACAGTAGACCAATTGCAAGTCTCTGATAGCGTATCTTCTAGATGAACCAAGCTCAAATTGGTTGTATCAAAAAGAGAAAAAAAGTCATCACAAGAAGGAATGTAATTTTCTAGGTGTATTTTTAGGGCTGATCTCGAAACTTACGTTGGGTTTTCTGGATCCTCACGGTATGCTTGGAAAAATCAAATTTTGCATGTACTCCAAAAAAAAATCGCAGTTTACCACAGGAAATTCAGTTGTTTGGGAACTGAGTAAATAATACAGGACAGGGGAAAGGAAAGAAGAGCCAATTATCGCATCAACCTGAGTGGATCAGTTATCATTTTGTTACCATCTAAATTTATGTTGAATTGTGTGATTCTCGGATGTGACATATGTGTCTTCTTTTCTTTCCCCAATTGGAAGTAGGTGATTGTCAAATGCACCTTTTCAAAATCATTGCGAAAAGCCCACCTAGAATCAGTGACAAATTTTAGGCGATCCGAAGTGTCTGTTGACCAGTAGCCTGATTATTGATGCTCATGTCAGCACAAAAAGACTTAAAAAATCGATCAGTTAAAAGATTATCATGTGTTAGCCTGCTGACAAAGCCTGATAAAGCTTTAACAATCAGGCTGTAGTGTCTCATGGTTGCTTGAATGAATTCAGGGGAGAATTACATTTTTGCCGGTAAATGAAGAGCAAAGAGGAGACTTGGATATCAGAAGTGACAACAAATTTATTAAGGATATTTTTGGTAAACAGGCATTAGTGCCATTAAGCCCATTTTCAGGAGTACAAGATTTCTGAATCCTCGTAAGATGGCGTATCCAATAAAATGAATGTAGCTTATACATGTTTCTGTACAATAGAAATGAACTAAAGATCATAGAGAGAGAATGGAATGCGAATTTTACAAAGTTTTCATGTTTATGGGGGAACATATAACCCTGATCCACTGTATAGTCGTCATCTCTACCCCTGCATCATCCATGCGTTGGCAACTAATGGACAAAGACTTCAGTACTCTAATTTTTCTGTTTAAAATGAGAAAGGCGACATGTTTTTAGTTACAAACCCACCCCTCTCAATTACCATTCATGTTAAAAAAAAAAACTTAAATAATAAGGAACACATCATCTCAGCAGCAGAAAGTCTCTTGCCAATAAAAGAACTTGTGCATGTTTTCAAACAAAAAAAAAAAAAAAAAAAAATATGTTAGAAACCCGCACAGGGTAGCCATCTGCTGTTTTCCATACCCCTTTTCAAAGGTTCAGCAAGTCACAAAGGAATTAGAGTTTAGGCGCAGTTTAAGTAATAGAGGAAGTACATGGTGTTCAATCTTAAATTAGGGATTTTCTCCGAAATAAAATTTTTGGTATACAATCTTTTACTTTCGAATACTCAATGCTGAGGTTCAAAATGAAACAAACTCTACTCATTAGGTGCTCGTTATATTATCACAAGCCGGAAACATTGACTAGAAAAGCATGATGATAGATATATGTAGTTGTATCTACAGTGAAATATAATCATTGACTGAAGTTTACTGTTTTTCAAATTTGTGATTTCGAAATCATACTTATGTACTGAACTGTACGAAATTCCCTGATTAGTTAACTTGGACGTTTTTTTTTTCATTCACAGATGCAGTAGATTATACGGGATGCAGCTCTTGCGACAAGCCTGATAACTAGGTGAGTTTTCAATTTTTTGCCAGTACACTTACAAATTGTATACGTAGTAAATCATTCTTGGAAGTGAAGGGTTTTTCCTTAAGATTTTACTCCTCCTTCAGGTTAGCCAAAGATAATCAGCTTTTTTACAAATTTTGTTTTTACCCATCTTTTCAAGTATGGTCTATGAGGACAAGATTTAAAAAGTTCCCCGAGAAAATCTGCTTAAAAAGTTTTTCAATAGTGCAATGACCAAGCTGTTTATTATTTTTGTTGTTTGAAATTTTCTGATACTGAGGACACTTTTCGTATTCGTCAACTAAGATATGTTTCGAAATAATGCGGTGAGATGAAACGGATGCTACAGATACAAATTTTCGGAAGTGAGAACTTGTCAATTGGAAATGTGGAGCTTGTGGTGATAAAACGGTTGCAAATGAGGATTAGGTACGAAACTTGTGTAAATTTAATGATGATGGTATTATCCTCCAGAAAATTTTGAAGAGAGATTTCATGCTTGTTTTTTCCCCCTTCATATCCTTGAAATTGAGATAAGAGAAGCTTTCGAAGGGAAAATGGCAAATTATAATACGAAGACCTCGAATTACTAAAGGTTATAAGCCTTGGCCTGATATAATTAAGTCAAGTTTTCAAAACGTCAATGAAGTCCTAGACTATTTGCATTCCTCTAAGATGATGTTTTGAAGCCAAAGCTGAAGGAGGAATAAAACTAATGGAAGATTATTGAGTTTTTTCAAAGAGCGTACCGGTATGTCAGTTCATTGTCCAGTGGACTTGTGGATGCAGAAAACTTCATCCAACTAGAAATAGGCAGATGACAGTGAATGGCATAAGAGACACGTATGTTCTTTATAGGAAGAGAAAAAAAAACTTTTGGTGAGGCAGCCATTGGTAAAATAGAATTACTTTTTTGGATCTCAAGGTATGTGGTCCTCTTGACCAGTGATGTTTTTAATCCTTGGCTTATCATGAGTTACACAAATTTCAATCGTTTCATGTAGAGGCTGCTCATGTCCATTCTTCCTGTCTTGAGTTTTTTTGAGTTGATAATACATTCGAGAGTTGAATTTAATGATGACTGTGGCATTATTACTTGTTTTACACTTTGATGGTGGTGTCAAATCTTGAAAATTATTATGAGCACAAGAAAACTAAAAGCTGGAAAAATGTACATTTCAGACTTTCACACAACATGACTCAATTATGAAATGATAAACGCCAGGAAAGATGAATTTTGAAACTTAGAATTATGGTTTACATAACTTGGCAACACCTCTTAAGGGGCAGGGTTGCCACAGTCAGGGAATTTTATAAAGTCAGGGAAAACTGGGAAATGTCAGGGAAAATTTGTTGAATCTTCTTCATTTGCTTTCTATTTTGGGTTTGATGTTTCAAACTACAAATTTTTGTCAAATTATGTCTTCTTAGCCATTCGCCATATCTTCATTTGTCAGGGAATTTCACCAAAATGTATCAGGGAAATGTCGGGGAATTTCATTTTCTAAATTTTGTGGCAACCCTGTCTGATCGAATGACTATCCCATCCCACCTATAATAGTTACCCGACCTATGTCAGCAATTCTTTCGTTCACGATAACTATTGTTAGATTTACGTTAGCTTCTTCAAATTTTGCAGTTTTGTCCATTTTGGTTTTATGAAGAACTGTATAAATGTTCGGTTAAATCGCATTTTCCGTTTACTTATAAACGGTAATTAACGTAAGTGCCCTACTTACGCTGTTTTCCACTAAACTGTTTTTATGAAAGTTCCATTCCTTGGTTTCCTTGGTAACCTTTGTTTGCTATCAGCTGATGTTTTATTTCAATTTATTTTTTTATTTTTTTCATTTTTTTTCTTTCTTTTTTTAATAAATCATCGCTAGGTTAGTTCTAATTTTTTTGCCAGCATTTAATCTCCCTCCCCCCCCCCAACCCGCAGCTCATTTTTCTAGCTCCAACACCCTCTCCCCACAACTCATTTTTCTATCGATTTTATCATGTTTTTTGTATGGCATGTCTTGCTCCCCTACCACCATTTTTTCGGGGTTATAGATATTTTAGCGGCCTCTAGACCCGTGACTCCAGTCACGGGCATTTCGCTAGTTACTTTAATAACCGTAACTTGCTCTGCTATTCCACTTACTTGACAGTTGATGATTATTTCTTTTCTCATGTTTTCAGATGCTTGAATCAGGCAGCCTAGAACACATGTCTTGAAAGAAAATGCTAACTATTTTCGTTCCTCAATGATTACTTTTAGACGGAATTGACGCTGCTCAAAATTGTTTTACTTCTCTCTTACTGCCTTTTTAAACAATATATATTTTTTTTTAATTTAATGGTCATTTTGTTTACTTGCTAATTATAATATTCATTTATTAGTGTTTAAATACGTTAGTGAGTTGCTTGTGTAACACTGATTTTTGTTCCTTTTTTTGGAAACTTGAATGAATTTCATGCGCTCATGTAAACAAGCTTGTTCTTAGACTAACAGTGCAAATATGGCAAATTTCACCTAAGCCTTTCTTTAGCACGTTCAACCCATATTTTGTACTTGTATCCCCTTGAAATATCATAACGTTAGTGAGTCAACAGGGAATTACTGATTTTTTGTTTTGTTTTCAAGTACTTAAATAAATTTTCTTTTTTCTACTACCTTATGTCTATTTATCAACATCTCTTTTTTCATACACCATTTTTTCTCATGACTAATACAGGGTGTCTGCAGGTCTGGAAAACCGGGAAAACCAGGAAAAATCAGGGAATTTGATCACTGTCTGGAAAACCGGGAAAAGTCAGGGAATTCGATCGAAAACCGGTGAAAGTCAGGGAATTTTCGCAAGAACATTTCGCGGCTATTTTTGCTCGTCACTGCCGAATTGGCCGAGTAGCGCGCTCGCGTGGCTGATAAGGTAAACTGCTCTGTTCAACCAGTTTGCAACACGGTCGCTAGGTTCACTAATGTGTGTTCGCTAACTTTAAAGATCGAATCGATCTGCCCTATAATTTATCTACTTAATTCATGCCAAATGGCAAGATAGACTAAATAGATTTGAATGAAGTTAACTTGCTAACAGCAGAAAATTACAGTAAATAATGATAGGAAACTAAGTTTTGAGCAGATGGTTAATCAATTTTTTCAATAAGTTAGGAAATTTAATGAAAGTGCTAGAATTTTAGTTTTTCTTTAACTGAGTAAAGAAATATTTAATGTCAACTGCATTTTGCGTGAAGTTTTTCTGGTTCTTAAATCATCATGTTCACAACTGGTGCATCCACCTTGTAGAAATATTATTGGTGGATTATATTCTAACGAGCCAACGCTTGTTGAGTATAAGACAAATTCAATACCGACAATAGGTTCTGGAATCCACTGAATTAATTGACCAAAAAAAAAAAAAAAAAAAAAACCCGAATCAAGGAAATTTATCTAAAATCGAGAAGAGACTCATATTTCCTCTTGATTACAGCAAAATCTACCTGAGTTAGGCACATTTACAACTCTTGTTTTATATTTTAAGAAAAGGAGACTTGTTTTTTCAGTACACTAAGTAATATGCCAATATATGAAACCACCAGGGTGAACTATAGTTTGAATTTTCAAAAGTATCCGAGGCAATATGTCACAAAGAGAGCGTAATAGAGCTTAAAAATTAAATTTTGAAGGTGAATTTTAGTCTGAGTATACCATTTTGGAATTAGCTTTATTTTGAGTATTTAGGATCTCGTTCCTCTCAAAAGTATTACTCAACTCCTTCCAACACCCTGGTAATTCAGAATATGACTTTACGGGATCATTCCTAAGGATAGTTTTTTTTTATATTTTCTAACTAGTTCATCGTATGGATAAACCTAAAAAGTCAGGGGATTTTGTCATTTTTTGTCATGGAAAACCTGGAATTGTCAGGGAATTTCATTTTGAAAATCTTGTAGACACCCTGTAATATTAGTGAGTGAAATATTTTTTCATGTGTGTTTTAAATTCTTCCAGTCATTTATTGACTGATAATAGTTGCATTTTGTTCCTGAAGGCCACAAATTTTTTATTTCTCCCTATTTTCTGAATCTGATTGTCTTGAGATGGCTTTATGGCGAAAGTCTCAAAACACTTTCCTCATTTGGAATGTTTCAAGAAGAGCTGATGATGTTTCATTTTCATCTTAATTTTTTTCTTACAATGAAAATCAGTGAATTATTCATAATTTTACCAAATATTCTGCACATGATGCAGGATAACCAGCAAAAATGTCAAGAAATAATGTTCCTTAGCTTATCGTAAGTAATACAGGCAATAAGTCAAGAAATCATCAACGTTGCAAAAAGAGACATTCAATTTTCAACAACGACTAACATTGGTTGAAAAATAAGAGTGACCATGAGTGAGAAACTCATTAATTTTAAACCATGAACGTTTTGCAGGATTTAAAATAGATTACTAAAATCTTAACCTCTTTACAAAAGAGAGATGAAGTTTCGTAGATTTTGAATCACTAAGGGGCTACGTCCCAGTAAATAATCACTGAAAGAAAAAAAAAATCTTAAATTTGCCGCCAAGAAGTATTCTCTCTTGAATCAAGAATTCTGATCATAATCAGCTTATTACAAACTATATACATGCTTAATTCAATATTTTCATTCATGTATCAAGAAAAATTTAGCTTGAATAAAGATATAAAAAAATTCTTGGCGGCCAATTCAAGAATCATCATGCATCATAATGGATACGGCAACATTGCTCGTGATACCCCCCTTTGTTTTTCTCGAAATTTTCTGATGATGATTCTGGGTGTCCATACTCAATATAAAATCTTTCAAATTGGATGAACAAATGAAATTAATGAAACGACAGTCCTGCTCCGAATTTACGCGACTCGCGAATTATTGATGATGCAGCAATTCGGCAACATTGCAGAAAATTGCCCCCTTGGATTTTTTTAAATTTTCCAAGGATGATTCTTGGTGTGCATACTCAATATCTTATGCGTCTAAAGGGGATGCACAAATGAAACTTTGAAACCCTCAGAGCCTGCCCTGAATTTACGCGACTCACGAATTATGGATAATGCAGCAATTCGACAACATTCCTAGAGATTTCCCCCTTGGACGTTCTCAAAATTTTCCAAGGATGAATCTAGGTGTGCATACTCAATATCTTATGTGTCAAAGGGAAGAACAAATGAAATTTTGAAAACCTCAGAGCCTGCCCTGAATTTACGCGACTCGCGAATCATGGATGATGGAGCAATTCAGCAACATTGCATGAAATTTCCCCTTTGGATTTTCTCGAAATTTTCAGAGGATGGTCTTAGATGTCCATCCTCCATAAGTATAATCCTTCAAATCGGATTATCAAATGAAATTGATGAAACGACAGAGCCTGCTCCGAATTTACGCGACTTGTCTCGTATTGACGATGGATGCGGCAACATTGTTTGAGGTTTCCCCCATGGATTTTATCGAAATTTTCCAAGGATGATTCTGGGTGTGCATATATACTCAATATCGTATGCGTCAAAGGGGATGCACAAATGAAACTTTGAAACCCTCAGAGCCTGCCCTGAATTTACGCGACTCACGAATTATGGATAATGCAGCAATTCGACAACATTCCTAGAGATTTCCCCCTTGGACGTTCTCAAAATTTTCCAAGGATGAATCTAGGTGTGCATACTCAATATCTTATGTGTCAAAGGGATGCACAAATGAAAACTTGAAAACCTCAAAGCCTGCCCTGAATATACGCGACTCGCGAATTATGGATGATGGAGCAATTCAACAACATTGCATGAAATTTCCCCTTTGAATTTTCTCGAAATTTTCGGAGGATGGTCTTCGATATCTATCCTCAATAAATATAATCCGTCAAGTCGGATGCTTTGATTTTCTTTTTCTCATAAAAATAGAGGACTCCAAAATGGATTAATTAATTAATTTAATTAATTAACGGTAAACATTGATCCCGGAACAAATTTCGCTGGTTTATGAAGGTTCCGGATCTTTTCCGGATCTCTCAAAATACTACCTGTTCCGAGAACATCGGACATCAACTTTGTAGGTAACTCTGTCTCTATCTGTAGCTCACTTCAGTCATAGAGAAAAAAAAGGAGGTGTTTGCATTTCGGGCATCTTGGAGTATTTTGATGACTTGATGACGTAGGTGGGTACAGCTGGGTACAGGGACGTCCCCTTCACACTGTACCCACCTACGTCATCAAGTCATCAAAAAATTCCAAGATGCCCGAAATGCAAACACCTCCTTTTTTTTCTCTATGCACTTCAGTCACTTTGAATCGTGAGTGTGTGAGTGAGTAGTGAGTAATGACAGCTCAATTGTTCGCTTTGTTTAAGCTCCTTTTCTTCATGTTTTCTGAATGATAATGTTAAATTTAAGTACGCCTATTCCTTGGTTCGCTTTTGTGACTCAATTTATTAGCCAAGCTTCGTTTCTTCAATTATCTCCAATCGTTTGTGGTGTTTTGCTATTCGCTGATAAGGCACTGATTTACTGACTCTTTTTGATTCTACAAATCTTTATCAAAATCTCAAGTACTTTCTAATGTTTTCTACCGTGCAATTATCGTGACATTTGCGTCATACCGCTGCAACCAAAGTGATACGTTAAAATTTATGAAACTGTCAATTATGTCCACTTTTATACTCTTATCAATGAAAGCTCCATGAAGAATGGCAGAGGACAATTATACCTACCCTCTCCACGAAAATGTTTTCTTCGGAAATATCGTCAAGCTGAATGCTTTAGTAGAAAGCGAAGCTCATGACATTGCTCAAAAAGATAAGCATGGTGAGATGATCAATCAGCTTTCTTCCTTTGTCACTTTATGATAGCCAAGATTCGAACTGGTTAATCCTAACCTCTAAATAATACCCAACAAAGGAGCTGCAAAAGCACGGATTTTTAAAGCCATTTTAAGCAAGATGGTATGCCTATGGCTACAATCAGTTGTAGGTCACAACTAGATCAGAATTTGAGCTGTCTTAGTTCATAATTCAATTCTTATTGTGCTCGACCTCTAAAGAAGGAGCGTGTAAGAGGACTACCCCACTGCCGATTCTTGGATGTGTAAAACATGCTCCTTCCCCGATATATTTAGGGGAAGAAATTGTTGCCAAGTGAAAGCTTTAAATTTATGTTAGGTATTGGCGCGATGTTATATGCCTGCTAGACTGGGGGCCCATAGGTATCCCACTGTTTCATTGAATTATGCTCTCCACAGGCGGTTGATCAGAATTTTCTCACTACAAATTCATCCCTCTCACAATTACACATTTGACGAAGTTGAAGTTTGAACAAGGCTTGATGTAAAATTTTGAAGGGTTAAAAGGTGAAAATGGTTGGGGGATAAAAGGTCCTTACTTTTGAAATGTGAATGCAATTTTTCGGAAAGCTGATGAGAAAAGTATGGAAAGCCAGCAGGCTGGCGCACGAAAACAAGGAAGCTTAAAAGATTTTTCACCGCTAGTAAAGTTCACGCAGAATAAGTTTATGCACTTTTAGACCATGGCAAAAGATCTGCGATCTTGATACTTACCCCTTTGACGTTACAAGATCTTTTATTGCAGTCCAAAAGTGCATACTTAAACTTATTTGGACGAATTTATGCTGACTGGAACCACGTGCAAGTGGAAAGATGGGGTGCGCTTGCGGTGAGCTGGATAAGAAACTTGTAGAAGTGGATACAGTTCCTTTTGAGAAAATGGAAAAGCGGAATTTGACATTAAATCAAAAGGAACTGAGCGCTAACTTACGAGCCATGGAAATTTGACAAGAGCCTTGTGCACAGGGCTCATCAGTTAAAGAACACTAATCGTCGAGCTCCCTGTCGACGTCGAGCCCGGTCGTCACCGCGGATGTCACTGGCGCTTTAAAATCCCCATTCACTCTTATGGCCCTGAACTAACGAGCAAACCCCATCCTTGCACTTGCTCATAGTTGCATTCAGCATAAATACGTCCATTTGAAGTGGACTTTAGTGGGCTTTAGCAAAATACCTCTTGATGATCCTGTCTTGTCATTTTAGTGAGGAAATTCAAAGCTAGAAACATCAGTATGGTAGTGGAAGTCTCTCAACTGAGCTGACTAATTTCACTAAATTACTTTTTAGCATCAATGCAATTCACTCTTTGAATCCTACCATGTGAAATTAATTTCCAATTATTTTTTATCTCTCAGGAAATACTCCGTTGCACTTGGCGGTTATGCTCGGCAGAGAAGGTAATTCACTTTCTGAACATCTCCTGCTTTTTTTCCCCTCTATTGAACTATTGCATGAATGAGTTACTATCCTAGATATAAATAATTTTTAAGTATAAAAACTTAATTGGAAGGAACAATCCTCGAAAAGGTTGCAAGTTTATCTTATATTTCATTTGTCCTCTGGTTGTTTGTTTGTCAACTTCTACAACAAATTTTGTTTGTTTCGTTTTTAATTGAGTATTTGCTTCATTTCTCATGATTCTACTCGAGGGGTATCACTGACATTTCCACTTTTGCAGTTGAAGATCATGTTACCTATTGAATGCATAATATGAATTAAAAATAACTAAGTAACACTGGCATGAAACTTAAGTCTGTCTAGTTGAAATTTTAGCTCCTGAAAATGGCACTAAAATTTTAAATAGTTGTAGCGCAGGATCATGAAAAATTTGCGAAACAATTGACCATTTGACAATGCGAGGATTTAAGTATTAAGGCACATGTTCTCTCATTACAAATTCACTTAGAGAAAGATCATGCAACACAAGTTGTTGAGCAACTCCTGACCAAGATATTAACATTTTTCTCGCATAAATTAAAACTTCCTGTTTTCAAAAAAGACGTTATCTCATTGACTTAAATTGCACTTTGAGCAACAAGCCGAGCATCTTCTCTAATTTTCTCAATTGTTTGCAGCCTGTGTGTATTTACTACTCAAGTATGGTGCTCCTGTGAAGATAAAAAATGCTGCCGGTTGGAGTCCACTGGCAGAGGCCGTCAGCTATGGAGACCGTCAAATCAGTGAGTATCACATAACTTAAAAGACTTGCACAGGGAAACCTAAAGTAAAAGTGGGTACTAGTCTGTCAATACTATGCTCAGAAGCAATCGATCAATCAAAATGTGGATTACCTGTGATATGCATTCTGAGATTGTTGCATAAAGGTGCCACTCAAGTTCAATAATTTCTTGCCTGACAGAGTGACGGCACACCGATTCAAAGGGCCCAAAAAACGTCTGTGAACTAAGTATTGAAGTATTTTTTGAGGTAAACCTCTCAAAAACCTATTGATCTAATTTCGCCAGAATTTTAAGTTTATGGGATCAAAATACTTATGAAATCAATGAAACTAAAAAAAACTTGGTCATAATTCTAGTGAAACTAGATTGGCAACTGTAGTATTGCCCTTATAAAATTTTCAACTTTTGTAAATTTGATCCTATATATCACTCTACAATATAAGATCATAAGAGTAACACAGTGCCTGAGGCGGGGAACACTTCATAAGCTTGAACCGCAAAACAATCAAAGAGCACATTGGCTGATCCAGCAAATTGGCAACATTGTCTTTTCTCCACTTAAACCTTTGGAAATGTATTGATTCTTGGAGGGGCCAGGTGCCCCAACAAGAATCGATTATTTAGCATAGGTTTAAATGGAGGAAATCCGATGTTGCCGAATTGCTGGATCTGCCTCCGAAAGGGCGTTGCCTCTGAGACGATGCTGCCTGTGCAGCGCAGGGAAAGCACGCAAAGAAAACCAGAAAACACTGATATAAGGATGAGAGGAAGACTTGCCGACCGGCCCGAACACAAATGAAGAAAAACATGAGTAAGAAATCACCCGAAAGGGTGATTTCCCCTTAAATAAAAACTCACATTTTGGGAGTAACAAAGACTTGCAGGCACCTGCTAAGACGAAAAGGACCGAAGTGAAGTAGATGGCGTCTCCGCATAACTGTCCCTCTCTCTCTGGTGTCCGCCTCTCTCATTGGTGGATCAAGTCATGTGACTGGATCCCCCAACAGGACTACAGACACCAGACAGAGACAGGGAGGGAAATGCAAATATCCAAAATACATATTTATATGTCACACCTCTTAGGCCTTGTCTCCACGAGCCGTTTCACGAGATTTGTCCGAGGGAAAAATCCCACTTACAAAGTTGGGAAAAATATTGAGTTAATCAATATTTTTCCCAGTACCAAGTATGGTACTTGTACCCCTAGGACCTACTGAGAGAAGAAGAAGAAGTGAAAACGAATTGTGTGATATTTTATTCATTACTACATTGTTAATGTTTGTTCAGTTAAAATAATGTGTCTAATTGTCAATTGAGTGCATTTATTATTATAATCCCGTTTAAATACTCGATTTTAACTACTTTATCTTCCCGCGCAAACTAGTCGCAGGACTGTATGAGCCCCGTCCCGTGGAGACGGTAACTGGGAAAAATCCCAGAAGTTTCATTCCTGCGATTTGAACGTGGGACAAATCCCATGAAAACGTCCCGTGGAGACAAGGCCTTCGTTGGATATAATACACATCTCTCAAGAAAAAAATAAATGCAAAAAAAAATTATTGCTCAACCTTACCCTCTTCTCCCCACTTGCACGGCCATTGAGCAGCAAAACAATACTGACGCATACTTCCATTCAACATTTGAATGAAGGAAATGTCTGGTATCTGTCAACCGGTGTAGTTTTAAAATAATTGTACCTATTTTTTCAGTATCATCGTTAGTCCGAGCTCTCAGGCGGCAAACTCGGGAGCAAATGGAAGAACGTAGACCAAATTTAGTTACCGCTCTCAAACAAATGGGTGATTTTTATATGGAACTGAAGTGGGATTTTCAAAGTTGGGGTGAGTAAAAATTCGTAGATTACTTCATCTTCTTTCAAGATTGTATTTGCTATGTTTCCTTTTTGTCTCCAATTACTGCGATGAAAAGAAGGAAAGGAGGACAAATGAATGTAATCATTTAGTTTGTGAGTCTGAGTAAAGGTGTTCTCAGTATTGTTGAGTTTTGCGTTCAATTTAAGTTTGTGAGTTGGGATCAGCTTGACTCAAATCGTATTCCCCTTAAGAAAGAATGCAACTACATCTCATCTTTACCAGTAGAATCCAGGGAATTTCTAGCTGAAAATACTGTGTTTTCTTCTAAGCTCATGCAAAAATCAGGCATTTTTCTGGACAAAAATTTTGCAAGTATGAATATTCTTAAAATAGAGTCATTAGGTTTCGGATACCTCAGATACTTCTCCATACTAAAGTTATTTTTTTATCACATTAAACTCATAAATACTTCCAAAAACCTCTTGAGGTATAGGAAAGTGCATATCACTTGTGCCAAGATAGGCAACGGTGAGAATCACTTCAGTAGCTTCTTTTGCTTTTTTATATGTTCAACTTCAAGCATCAAGAAACAAATGTAAGGATCACAAGTGACAAGAAACATGCATAATACCCATTACACTGGCAACTGTGCTCACAGAATCCTTTCAGAAAACAAATGTCTTTTTTTTCTTAATAAAAATCATTTTTTTCTCAAACTTTTCTAAAATTGCTTTGCAGACACATGTTCCACACTTATATGCTAAAAATCCTAATAAGAGGATTTTTTGGGGGAAATAAGAAGAAAGTAAAAAAGGAGATAATGGAGAAGCTAAAATTTTAGGGAACTTACAAATGTGGAATTTTTGGGAAGGAAGGATTGATAATGGAAGAGCAAAGACTTTTATGACGAGGGCCTTGTAGGCACCTTATCCATCAATGAAACGTCTCTAACATCGATCGACTTGTACATAAATTCATCTCCGGAGACACACACTCAATCTTGATTTTGTAGAATTTGATCACTAAACATTTTGTTTACCTAGTTTTATGATCATGTTTCATTTACCCTCTTTTTTCCAGTACCACTGGTGTCTCGCATCCTACCGTCTGACATCTGTCGCATTCACAAAAAAGGTTCCTCAATACGTCTTGATACTACTCTTGTTGACTTTAATGATATGCGATGGGAGCGAGGGGACATAAGTTTTTTGTTCAATGGTGATGTGAAACCCAATCAGTCATTTACGGTGCTTGATAATCAAGCTCAAAGTTACCAAAGAATCAGGAATGAGGTAAGCTTATTTCCCCTTGTTTAAGTCACAGATTTGTGTCAGTGCTTACTTTCAAAGAAAAACTCTTTGAATTTATCAAACAAATGTGAATGTTCTCACTTTTAATCTCCTCTATTCTATTTTCTAGTTCAATTCATTTAAATCATTCAATAACAACAGTGCCGAACAAGGCTAAAACATATGAGATTTTTTGTGCACCGAACAGCCATCTAACCTTCAGAACAACTGGATACTGAGGGCATCTTGCAAACAGAAGATCAGGAAAAGGAAATGATTCATGGAAACGCTTTATGAGTATTGGAGAGTTACCAAAAGCTTTTCGGAAACATATTTATCCCTCTGATAAGCTGTGATAATTTGTCTTGAAATTAGGCCCAAAGAAAAAATTTGCAAACTTCCCAGAGAATTTGTATTTTAGCCGAAGAAAGTTGGCAACATACGAAGGTTTATCTGGTGTATAACCTCAGCACAGCAATGTCCCTAACAGTAAATAGAGATCTTTTATGTGGCAAGGATTTATGATTTAAGTGCTTTTTCTATTGCAAAATTCTGCAAGATTTACGATGGTACCACTTATTTTCTCTGAAATGAACGCCCTAACTGGAAATAGCTCTTCAAGTTGAGACCATGATTGAGGGGATCTCTGCCATGCTGAGGAAGAATGCTGTATGAGCCCTCAAACGTCGTCAAGTTTCTTTTGATAAAAACCGAATTTACTGGGAAAATTGTGAATATTTTTTTCCAAAATTTTCAGACAATTTTGCACAGAATTTAATCTGAAATATCTGAACATTTCAAGGGAAAATATGCATGAATTTCGTCATAAATACATGTTTTATCAAGGGAAATTTGACAACTCTTGAATGTTCATACGCTGTTCTTCCTTAGCAAGGCAGATTTCCCTTGCTGCGCAGAGAGCCCACCTTTATAGCCAGTGGAATTTCTCATGCTCACACAGTGAGCAAATACATTAGCAGGGTTTGTTTTGGAACTCCAAAGCTGGAACTATTGCAACCCTGTCAATGTAGTTGCTTCCCACCTGTGCACGGAGCGTTTAACTCGATGCACACGCCTAAGCAACATGTCAAAAGTGAAATTGAGAATAACAATGGCATCAATGTTCTGACAGAGCATCATCACATTTTTGTTCGTTTTTGTATTTTTTCCTCCCTCAATTTTTATTCCGATAAATTTTTTTCAGGAAACTGATCTTGAAATTGAGGATGAAGTTGATCTCCTAATGAGTAGTGATATAACAGCTCCACAAATGTCCACCAAATCAATAACATTCACCAGAGCCAAGTCTGGATGGTTTTTCAGACAGGATAGAACTGTAAGTTTCTGCTCTTTTCTTTCTGTTTATTTGTTTGCTCAATGTGATCATTATCAAGGAAAGGGACCCTAGTTTAAAAAAACTCCAGATCGATGTATTTATACTGCTTAAAGGAGTGCAGGACAAATATTTTAGCAGTTTTGAGACCTACCTGCGCAGCAATGACAGGAAGTTTACAGGGTTGCCACAGTCAGGGAACACCGGCAAATGTCAGGGAATTTTATAAAGTTAGGGATAAGCGGGAAATTTCAGGGAAAATGACGAAAATGTCAGGGAAAATTTGTAAAATCACCTTTATTTGCTTTCTAGAATGGATTTGAGGTTTCGAACAACAAATTTTGCCTGAAAACTATGATAAATTATGCCTTCTTAACCATCCGTCACATCTTCAATTGTCAGGGAATTTCACCAAAATTTGGCAGAGAAATGTCAGGGAATTTCATTTTCTAAATTCTGTAGCAACCCTGAGTTTAAGTGCAATGCATTTCCTGTAAGATCATTCTGAAAGAGCGGATCCTACATCACGGTTGGCAGGGTAGTGGATCCTAAAAAGCTACATAGTGACTGACCTGTGTGAGTTGGTCTTGTTTTTCCTATCAACAACGCTGTATTTAAAGTCCAGCTCTTGACTTTTAACATTTCTATTCTTTTTTGTTTGCACCCAGCATACACCGCAGGTCAAAATTCAAAAACAAGTTCAAGAATAGTAAAATTTGAATTTGTGAACTTCTGTATTTTGAGAGCTACCAAGGCAAAGAAAGCACTTCTAAATGTAATGCATTTTTTGCTTCTGCATTGTCACCTTTCCAAGTTGCGCTCGGACCCTGTTTCAGCCCGTTTCCCCTAGATATTTTAAACATTCTGAGGATGCCTTTTTTAAAACAAGAAAACCGATGGTTATAAGACTTTCACAAGCAATCAACTGGTACCAAAATTATCCGAATCAGATGCGACGTAAGTGGACTCTTGTCAGGGAGAATAAAAAGGAACTGATGGTTGATTTAATTTGCATCAAATTTACTTTTCCTTCATTTTATTTGATTGTGATTTAGCACAATGCTGCCTGGACAGCGATGAGAGCCATAAGTGCAAAACAGAAGTTTTGAGAAAATGGGCTCAGAAGCGTCTAAGCAGCAAATTTTAATGAAAGAAGCCACCGTTACTGTCAAATTGCCACCAATCACGCGAAAGATTCTTAGAAATCGTTTGGATGATTGAAACTTAACCGATTTTATTTCAAGTACACAAAAAGGGTATTATTCATTTTCATGTTAGGCTAAAGTTAGGCAAGACAGCCATAAGTGCTATCTTCTGCATGCTTTCATGATTGCGTTTTGGACTCACCACAAACACATTTTCAGATTAGAAATCGGCAGAAAAAGGTAGCTTTTTACTTGAAAGCACTGTTTTCATTGGCTCTCTAGAGGAATAATGTGACTTATTGCTATTTTGCCCGCAACTACATCATTTTTTGTGCACTTATGGCTTTCTCATATGTCTCGTTTTCATACAAATAAGATGAATTTTACTGTTTTAGCTTTTTTAGTGATTTCACCTAAAAGAGATGAGAAGAATTTTTGAGGAAACTCGATTTAAAAAATTTGACAGTTACTGCTCTCCTCGATATTACGGCAGAATGAGCCTCTAAAGTTGGGGTCATAGATAGACTAACAAGGGGAACTTACGGACCTGCCGCCTCCGATTGGGCTGCATTTTTTTTTACAGACTCTATGGACCAATTTTAGAGGTCAATTTGAGCCGTTTTCCCGAGTGCGCAATAGGAAGGGCGCAAAAAATTCCCAAAAGTTTCGTTTTCGGCGCGTGATTTGGTCGTGCGGCGCGTGGCAACACTGAAGCAGCCTCTTGTACCGCTTTATCGGACTGAAGGTTTCAGTGGAGTCCGGAGCCCTACTGCACAGGTACTGGTTCCATGATAGTGATGTCCCGGGTTCGATCCCCGATTTTTTATTTTCCGCATGATCACGTAACATTTTATTTTTAATTCTTCATCCGCATTTATAAATCAAGCAGTTCCGATCACTATCCCCCCCCTCATTTTACGTACATTTTCCCCCGATATTTATTCATATTGACCACCAATAACCGCATGAAACTTCATCGACATAAATTAACGAATTAAAAAGCAAAGGGCCAAAATAATGTGATTCTTGGCGGCCCTTGCATGCACATGGGTTTGGGGTTGCTCTTCGATTTACTTACACATTACATATTTTTCCAGGAAAACATTGGAAGATAATGTAGTAACAAAAAAGGTTTTCTTTTGCTTTTTAATTCATTAATTTATGTCAATGAAGTTTCATGCGGTTATTGGTGGTCAATGTGAATAAATATCGGGGGAAAATGTACGTAAAATGAGGGGGGGGGATAGTGATCGGAACTGCTTGATTTATAAATGCGGATGAAGAATTAAAAATAAAATGTTACGTGATCATGCGGAAAATAAAAAATCGGGGATCGAACCCGGGACATCACTATCATGGAACCAGTACCTGTGCAGTAGGGCTCCAGATTCCGCTGAAACCTTCAGTCCGATAAAGCGGTACAAGAGGCTGCTTCAGTGTTGCCACGCGCCGCACGACCAAATCACACGCCGAAAACGCAACTTTTGGGAATTTTTTACGCCCTTCCTATTGGCGCATTCGGGAAAACGGCTCAAATTGACCTCTAGACCTCTAGAATAGAGTCTGTAAAAAAAAATGCAGCCCAATCGGAGGCGGCAGGTCCGTAAGTTCCCCTTGTCAGTTTTAGAGACTTGACAGACTCTTGTTTAACAGATGCTAATCGTATCTTATTTAATCCTTTTTTCTCAGGAATTGGTTGGGCCTTTCCATGCTGAGTTCTACTCCATAAATGGAATGATACTGGAATCTAGGAAACGCAGGGAGCATTTGTCAGAAGAAGATCTGCAAAAAAACAAAGCAATCATGGAAAGTTTCACCAAAGGGAACGCACAGCAACTTGCAGGCGAAGCTGAAGTAAGTCAGTTACATTTTACATAGGCTGTTCAAAAAGTAATGCATTGATCGACTTCTAGAGCGAACGGAAAAAGCTAAAAAAAATTGGTGTACATATTTGTATATTTGGAGTGAAAACCGATATATTGAGACCTTGTTGAGTTCTTTTGGTCAAAAATTGACCGAGATATGACGTTTCTCCCATGGCATATTGAGAGACCACCTCCAGGATTTTAGGGGTACTTTTTGAGAAGAAAAGAACGAGTCAGCGACGAATACTGCCTCTGTCTAAACTATCATCCTGGTACACTTCTTTCATTTCTTTATACGTATCATTTAACGACAACCCTTACCAAAAACAATAGTGGATGACGTAATGTTGTTATTTTTTTAACGTTTCGCTTACACTCAACATCGCAAAAAAGGGTAGCAAAATTAACCACAAGACAGACCAGCTGACTCGGTTGCAATTATTCTCTCAGACGTATTTTTAAGGCTTTTTGCAGCACCCCTAAAATCCTGGAGGCGGTCTCTCAACATGCCGTGGGAGAAACGTCATATCTCTGTCAAATTTTGACTGAAAGAGCTCAACAAGGTCTCATTTTAACGGTTTTTACTCCATCTACACGAATATGTGCACCGATTTCTTTTTAGCTTTTTTCGTTTGTTTTAAAAGTCGATCATTGCATTACCTTGTGAACAGCCTATGTATTCCATAGTATATATATCATTTTTTAGTAACTAGAGCTCAAGGTAATGTTTTCAAAGTCTTCTTATTTACCAACTTTATTGTTCATTTATGGCCTCTACTTTTCTTGGTTTATGTTTTCGACAGTCTTCAGTGCTTTATTACAAGTCAAAGAATTTGTGTCTGTGTTGTTAGTGTCACTAAAGTCTAAAGTGTAAATAGTAACTCTTATACTGCTGTATCAAACGCCGTATGAACCTTTAGGTGTTGCCAAATTTCCCTTGATAAATCACGAATTCTTCGAAATATTTATGAACATTCTTTTCCTGATTCTTCAGGAATTTCGTTTGCAATTTGATCCAAATAATGTAAAAATTTCAAGAAAAAATATTGATAACTTTCCTCCAAATTAAATATTTTATTAGAGGAAATTTTGCAACTCTTGAATGTTCATACGGCGTTTTTCCCTAGCATGGCAGAATAGGTCTGTTGCCCGCAAGAGATGTAGCAACGTTAATACTTTTCACAGGTAAAATTGCACTAAAATCAGGATGGTTGCATGAAACTAATCTGAAATTTACTGCTTACCGTGCAAATATACCAATGAGAAGAACTACATGTAAAAAATAGTAGAACTACCACGTTCAAGTTATTTAGGAGATGAATGCATTCAAAAGACGACAGGTGCTTGCGAAAAAAAGCATATTCATCTCCGATTGCAACGTTATGCACCAATTTTTATGTTTCATTTTTGAACACCGTTTTAAAAAACTACACACAGTTTTTCCCACGAATTTCTTAAATGATCTCAAGTGTAAGCAGTAAAACTTTTGACGCGATATTGTCGTTATCATACTATTTTCTTTCTACGTAATAAAAAAAAAAAAAAAAATTAAATATCATGCGAGTTTCTAAATTGTTGCAATGAGGATACATATTTTCCCTTTAATTATGGTAAAAAACGGAGCAAGGGGTCATGAATGATGACACATAATCCTAGTTTACCAATGGCTTTAGCGTCGCGCGAGCCTGGGAATGGAACGCGGTGGAGTCATCTTTGCAGTGTGACGCGCCTCACATCCGGCTGGGGGTAATACGCCAACATCCATGGTCGAATAGTTATCTCGTTACGCCTGCCGTGAATACTATTAAATATGGACGCCTGGATGCGGAAAAAAGTGTTCTTATCTCCGATTGCAACGTTGCAAATATCTACTCATGCATGTTTAATTTTAATCTTTTTTTTTTTTTTTTTTCAAGAAGCTGCCTACACACATAATAAAGGAACAACCGAGAGATCGAGACTCAGGTCTCGCGGTAACAGCGTAGCGACGGCTCGTTTTTATTTTAATTTATTTTCCGGTTGAAAATGAAATTGTAACTATTTTGAAACGTTCCGGGTTTTGTTTATCCTTTGTACTTTTTTTGCAGCCTTTTCCCCAAATTAAGTTGTTCTTTTATAATGTGTATTTTGGCTGATTAAGTTGTTTTTCATTCTGCCCTCACACAGTTTATTAGAGGTTTCCGAGAAATTTCCGGAATGATCTAAACTAAAATCACAAAAAATTTCGACGTGATATTTTCGTTCGTCCTAATTTTTTTATTTTATTTATTAATTTATTCATTATTAAACCAAATTTAAAATTACGCGAATCAAGTTTCATAATTGCTGCCTTGTTTTAAAATCGTCCGAGTTTCCTAATTGTTGCAATTAAGATACATATTTACCCTTTAATTGTGGTAAAAACCGAGCTGGAACCGTCGAAAGAAATGACGCATGGTCCTAGTTATGGGGCAATTTTAGAGTCACTGAAGCCAGGGAAGAGAGCGCAATCGAGTGTCGAGTCATCTTCACAGTGTGATGGGCCTTCAATCCAGTTAGCGGCAATGTGCCTGTACCCGTGGTCGAATAGTTATCACAAATGACTCTCGCATTGCGCTTGATGCAATGCGAGAAGTATTCGTGCAGTCTTGTAGGCGCTAATATGACGACGACGCCGACCGCACTGTTTGGCGCAATGCGTGAAGTATTCCTACAGTCTTGCAGGCGCCAATATGAGTTTGACACCGACCACAACGTGTTCGGCGCGATTATTCGAACTCACGTTAGGATAATCACGGCATCGAGCTATGGGGCTTAAAATACTCATGTTGTGTTTCGACGCCGCATGCGCAGTCCACCGTTGCCTCGTTTCTCCAGATAAAATATTTTTTCTGAGAAAAGTTATGAAAGTTTTCTATGTTCGCTTTTTAGATTGAATGGGCCATTGAACAAGTAACGAGTTTAAGTATTCTAATGTATGATTCTTCAACAGAATTTTACGCAGAACATGATTCTCGCAACGAAAACTACTGAGATCAACTTCTAGCTAAGATATTAACATTTTTATTGTACATTGGTTACGGGAACTTTGAATTGCCCGGTCACAAGAAAAACAAAACCCTACGCGAGTCAAATTGCACACTACAACGGCTTTAGCAGACTACTCAATCGAGCCTTGTTTCTTCCCCACACTGTGCTGTTCAAAGTATGTACAGCTTGAACTTGGCGTCAAGATGGAGGTTGCCATATTTTCATATTACTGAGACTGTCATAGTGACGTTTGAGGGGCAATTGAACCCAAGTAAATTATTCCTTTTTCCATGAGCGGAAAGATTGAATTTATTCATAAAAAACGTCATTACCACGGTTAGGAGTTAATACAGGGTTGGGATTTCGATCCCTCGAGTTCGACGTTGAGCGATCAATATCCTCGTTGCCAATTGGTGTTCACACCGCCAGCCTGCAATCCTATGGGATCGAAGGATTATGAAAAGTTTCCTGCTTTTCGTTCACTATTTTGTTAATTTTTTTCAATGAAAAAGAAACTAACTATATATAGCCTGAAATATGTTCAGAATATTCTGCCGAAGGAGAAGAAAAATTAAGATCGTTTTAATACATTATGTTGAGTATGGCAGGGAGACTGCCTCTGCAACGTTGCAGAAGGAGATCCATGGCTTCCCTTCTGCAACGTTGCAGAAGGAGATCCGTGGCTTCCCACTTTGATCATGTACATGATCTTTGACGTAAAATTTTGATGCACATCCTCCGAAAATCCATCGCCCATGGCGATTTCCATGACGACAATCGCCTCCGACAGCCAAATTATCAGCTGACGGAAAAAAACTCGCACGGGAAAAACGAAAAACCGCCTATCTCCCGGGGGGACCAACGGGATATCCGATTTGTCCAAGGGCACAAGGGGAGCCGAGCCCGCCGGCCGATCCCTATATTTTTCCCGCCGTCGGGGGACCGGGACGGTCGAGCCTGTACCACCCGCGCACGGATCGGCCGGGCGGTTCGCGCTGAATTTTGACGCAAAGAAAAGGCTTACGGAATTATATATGGTGATGATGATGTTAATTAATATGAGCCTCCCATAAAAATTGAGCCGACAACAAAGTTGTGACCATTAAATATTTACTTTTGTATCCATTTTCAGTATGTTCGAAGAAAATCCCTAACACGGCCACCAGAGCCTAAAGTGACATGGCAAGAATATTTAAATGCTCCCGCAGGAGAACCTCCTATTTTAGGTCGTCAACTAGTCTATAAGAACACCAGTAAAGTTTATAGAGCAACTGTTGGCATGGTAAGTTTCAAGATTTTTTTTTTTCATAAACTTTGTTGTTTCTTTTTTTGACAATACTAAGTTCAACATTGTTGACTCTATTTTTAGCGATGTATCTAGCCTGTGTTAATTTCCATTTAAGAGTATATTGGTCTAAAAAAGTTCCTGATAGAGACTGCAAAATGATGTATGTTCCCGTTGTTAAACTTACAAACTGATGGAAGGGTGTATCTGTAGTTCTACATGAACGGCAGGAAGCATAGAATCATACGAAGAACAAGACTCTTATGGAAATCAAAGTGCACCCTTGCATCAGAGAAGCGACAGAGGGGGACATAGAATAGATGTGTTCAAGAGTAACTCAATATTTTTATTTTTATTCAATTTTTTTCCCCAAACATACCTCCAATAGACGCCATTACTACATTTCACCATGCCTAATTTTCACTCATATTAATTAATAATTTAACATAGAACTTAACCCCTTAATACCCTTAAACTGTCGGTGGATTTACCCCAGATTATGAAAAATACACTTACTAAAGTTCAAGTTCCTGTCTTGTTAGTTTTTCGCACAGGATATAAAACATCAGAGAAAGTTAGGCAAGGTCATAAAAGTGATCGAACTTCTTTTAGCGCTTTTATTGAGAATTTATCAATATATATCACTTCTCTGTGACATAGTACTAGAGTCCACGCCAAATAAGTTTACGCTCTTCTAGGTTGCGACAAAAGATCTTCTGATGTCACTTTTACCCTTGAAGGAAATGGAAGAATCAAGATGACAGATCTCCTTTTGCAATCTAATAGTGCATAAACTCATTTGGAGTGGACTTTATAGATAGACTTTATAGACCTCAACAGGATTATAGATACTATCACAGAAAACCAAAAGAAACGAGAATCCATACAGCTTCCCATTTTTGCAGCCTTTATTTTTGCTCAAATGACCGAAATTAAACCAGCCAGTCACAAGGTCAAGCAATTTCTGTATTCCTGCCTGCTAAAACTGCAAATATTGATCTATTGCTGGTCATAAACACAGAATGTGTGATTTTTGCTTTTACTCATGAAAAGAGCATAACCCTCCATGGTATGATGTTACTTATTTGTAGCAATTTTTTTTTTTTTTTTAAAACTTATTTTATTCCACTGTGGCTTTTTAATTCAAAAATTTATCAGATTTTTTTTCTTAAATAGTTATTACTAAAATGTTTATACTTTGAAAAAATAATTGGGGTTCTATATTTGCATGAAAGCTACAAATAGATATATGTCCACCAGAATCCAAAATAATTAATGCCCTAGAGGCTTCAGAAGTTAATTAATGATGTCATCTCAGTTTAATTGCCAAATATCCTATTGAGACTGTTATACCTAAACTGTAACCTGTTGAGAATTATTCATCTCTAGCCTTGGTCGTCACTATTTCATTTCATTCACCCTCAATTTGTATTTCAGAGTCCAGATTTTCCTTTATCAGTCGATATGCTGTTGAACGTATTGGAAGTCATAGCTCCTTTCAAGCATTTCACCAAACTTCGGAAGTTCGTGCAAATGAAACTGCCTCCCGGATTTCCGGTTAAAATTGACATCCCGGTTCTAGCAACAGTCACTGCCACAATCACTTTCCAAGAATTTAGTTTTAGGAATGATATACCTTCCGAGTTATTTGAAATTCCAGTCCATTATGTTGAAGACCCCCACAGGTACGTTTCTTTCATAATTATTGATTCGTAGTACCCAGTGAGATATCAAATTTAAAAGCTAATTCATTATTAGTACAGGTGAGAGTAACAGGATAGTGAAATAGTGCTGATCTAATACTATTCTGCAGAAATATCAAATGTGGACCAAGCACCACTCTACCATCCTCTTACTTACAGAATTTAGGTCACATTTTTAGTGTTTTTTTCTCATTTAAGCGGAAGTTAATTTATGAGGAGATAAATTTTCCAATCCTTAGGTTTTCATTGCATAAAATTTCCACACTTGATTTCCACAAATAACATTTAATTTCCTTATGCTTCAATACAATGGCATATTATGCCAGTGTAAAAAAAATAGAGTTGGGCCGCAATGGATTTTTGCATCACCGGATACGGATATCAATTTTTTTACTTGATAATTCGCCGTGGTATCCGGCGGAAACTGGAAATACCGGATCTGTATAGTGCTTTTTTGCATGAGAAAAATTTCCTGAGTTTGTGCTAGGTTGGGACAAGAGGCGTACTGTGTATTAGACCATCTAGACTGCTACCGATGATATGTGTGGCTTCGTAACGGCAACCTCTTTACTTTTCAAAGACATGCTGTGAGTCGGCCTGCTGAAACGAATACTAAAAAAATGACCTGGCAGGTGAGCAGCATAGCTTTCATTGAGTTTATGGTATGATGAGCCAGATGGATCTGATGTGCAGAGAGAAAGATATTAACAGAAATGTTAACAAGACTCAAGTGGAATTCAGCGCTGCGGACTTCACACTTTTGAAAGCCCTGCCGCCGTTTGCCAATCAAAAGTCGCAGCATTTTAAAGCCTGTCCTGATGGAAAGCTGTTGGGTTAATCTCTGTTGGCGAGAATCTTTGAATGAACAAGAGAAATGGATGTTTAAACCGATCACAAACTTAACTGGCCTTTGTTTCGATACTGCAATAACGAACTGCCTACTGCAACATTACGATAATTGCGGAGTTACGCTCCAACTAAAAACGTTACCATCAGGAAACATATGCACATGTTGGTAACATTGACTTTTTTCTCTTCCACCTGCATCTCCGTCTTTGAAAGTGAAACTCGTGAGCTTAAGGAATTAAGGATTACGTTCCAATAATGTTCATTTGCGTAAAATGCACTTAAGTCCGGTAATAAAAAGTTTCGAAAAGTTGAACAATTACCATGACTTAAAAGTATTGAACGACGAATAGAAGTATTGTAGTATTGAAAGAGAAGAAAAAATACCACCAGAAACTTCTCAAAATTTTCAAGGCCGAAAAAGCACTATCTGTCAGGTCCAAAAACCGGATAGCGCGATTATCTGGCCGGATACGATTTTTGGGGGTATCCGGCCGGATACCCGCGCGGCCCAACTCTGAAAAATAAAATATTACCTAAATTGCACATATAATCATAAACGAACTCTAAAAATGACTTTTGTACAAGTAGAGTACAAAGCACCAGCATCGGTTTAACTTGTCACTGTGTAAGTGTTTACAAATTCTTTTACTACATGGAATGGGTTTCTTTTTAAGCATTGTTTTAAATTTTTTTTGAAGTGGAATAGTTTTTCCGCAACTTAACAGAATGCTCAAATTTTCTCCAAGTGATCTGGAAGTTCATTCCTTCCCAAGCCCTTTCCAGAACTTCTCATAATGGGTCAGTTGCGTTGGTCACAGAATCGTATTTTGATTCTTTATTCTTGTAGATTAGCTAATAATAAGATCTGTCCCAACCGCAACTTTCTATGTTCAATAATATTAACCAAGATATCGCCCCTTGAAAAGTCAGGATTTTGGCGTCATCGACCGCAGTAGTGATACCCTTGGTTTCTTCCACCTTGCTTCCATCCGAGTTTCACATTGAGTAACCAGTGCTAATGCAAGTCCTACTCCTGACTGATAAAACCAAGGTTGTCACCACCGCGGTGGATGACATTATAAACCAAATTTTTCAAAGGGCGATATCTTGGTTAATAGCCGACGTTAAAAGTGGCTGTTTGGACAAATCTTATTATTATTAGCTAATCTACAAGAATCAAGAATCAAAACACGATTCTGTGACCAGCGCAATTGACCCATGATGTTGGACTTTTGGAACTGTGTTACAAGAGGGCTAGTAATAGTTGTTTTTGGAATGTTCTAGAGCTTTTTCAAGTTTACTAAAAGTGGTACTAGAAGGAATGTGGCTTGCACATAATCACTTGCGAAGCAAATGATGAGGATCTAAGGAGGATCTAAGAGGCAAACTCCCTAATAAAAATAATTAACTTGTAAATAATAGTATCGAAAACAAAAACTTGATGCATCCTTTTTAGGATGGATAGACTACCTTTTAATTTTGTGATCTCATTTACAGCATAGAAAGTAATTGAAATATGAGTTTTCCCATGTAATATCTACTCAATGACATCTTGATGAAGGTAATATAGTGAACGGAGCTTCTCTAAAAATGGTAAAATCAGCAAGGATCTTACTTAACCAGTGTTTTTTGGATTGCAGTCAATTTTTCTTTATGTTGTTATTCGTTCATAATTTAGATGGTAGTTTTATGTTTGATCTCTAACTGCTTTTCAAAATTCATGGCTACATTGTGTGCTTTTGGTTGATCTCAACTTATTTAAGATAATCTATTGGAAGCAGAATATTTTATGCTTTTTTCCCCTGTAATGTTCCATGTTATCATTGCCATGGCAACATTTATCGTAACTTTTGCCTTTTTAAATGCATTAAAAGCAGTTAATTATCGATTATAGGCGCCTTCACCTAAAGTCAATTCTTTTTAACGGATATAAATGGAGAAAAAAACTGTTACTGCATGAAAATCGCCCCTCCCATTAAGAAATTACCAGCGTAGTAAATATAAGCTAGGCTCCTTAACTTTCTGATAAGATTTTAGTGCTTATTGGATGACAGTATTTCAATATAATCGGCATCAGTACACCATCCGAAAACTTCCTCTCTTTCACCAAGAAAAGCCTTTTAAAATGCATTTAGTGGAGCATAACAAAGTATTTAACTCAGGAAACCGGCCTCAGGTACCGTGGCTTGCCCCAAAAAGGACAAGAGGCAATCTCTTAAAATTGCAAAAATCCATTATTTTTTTTAATGTGATACTGATGAAAGAGATTGTTGCTTTTGAGATTCTTTGCTCGATTAAATCAATCGTATTAATGTTTTGAAAACATTATTTCGGCTAGCAAGTCTTTGATTTTGTTTTAAACTTTTTAGTCTATAAAATTTTTATTGGGAAGGAGATGGATAATATCAAGGTTGTTATAGGCAGAATTTGGGTTCAGTTAAATTTTATAAATTTATCATACCAAAATCGTGGCAAGGTTGTCCGAGTTCATACAAAAATAAAACAAGTAATTAGGTAAGTAATGTAAAATTTTAGGCTAGTAGGTGTTATATTTGTAAACATACAAATAGTTAATAATCTTATGATCTATAATAGTCAATGATCAGAATTCACAATTAAGAGAAAATCGTTGAAGTAGATTTTCATGAATGTAATTAGGCAGTACAATAAACTAGAATAGTATAATAAAATTGAAAAATTATAATTTTTGAAATTTGTTACGTAGATCAAGTGGTTGATTGCAGCTTAGTCTCATTCTGCGAACCAATGTCATTTCAATGAAAATAATCCACTGTTTAAAAATACAGATTGCAGAAGGCTTTTCTTTATTGTTAAAAAGATACTTTGTGCCGATTAAACCCAAGAGGGCGGCAATCCCAGTTCCTGTACTATTCATGATCAATATTTTGATTTCTATCACATTGATCTAATTTTCTTTCCCAAAAAATACCTCTTTCTATCTAGCAGATACTCTTTCATATCGATTTTTCAAGTATAGATTTTAATTTTTTCCCCTCTGCCCCTCCATTAACAGCATGAATTTTAACTCTATGAGCTATTCAGTTTAAAAAAAAAAATAATTTTACCATGTTTATGTTTAAAAAAATCAACACTTTAATGATTTTCCTTCTGTTTCTTGTTTACACACACGAAACTCCTGATAGTCCGGATTGGGTACTATCTGGACACTGCATTAGACATATTTCTACTAAACGGAACTATAGATGAGTAGGAAAGGTGGGGTATGCCCGTTTGAGCCGGACAAGAAACAATGGAACAGTTGTCGTGATTCCCTTTGGAGAATTGGAAAAGCGGGATTTTACATTCTACAAAACCGAACTGAGCGCCAACTGTATGTGGCACTCATGAGCCACGGGCATGTGACAAGAGCGTTGTGGACAGGGCTCATGAGTTAAAGCGGACTACGAGCGACCGCGGCGGCAGCTTCGTCGTCGCTGACAACACTGGTGCTTTAGAATTCCCATTCATTCTTACGGCCCTAGCATTAACTAGCACACCCCACACCCCTTGTTTCCCACCTGTTTCAGGTTCTATTCAGCATAAATACGTCCAATTATCTTAATCGATTTGACAAGTCCTCACATCTGTAAAACAGACCCAGGCAGGGCAATATCAGATACTATTTCCAGATGAAATTTTCCGTCTTTGTAAAAAATGCAAGATAATGAGGTACAAAGATATGTGAAGAAATGTTTTTTAAAGAAAGAATCACCCTTTTGTTTTAAGGTATAATGCGCTCTAATTCATTATGCTCGTATGTAAATGAGTGTTATTTTTTCCATCGATTATGAGGATCGGTCCAGTCTCAATTAATCTGGATAATCAGGAGTTAAGTGTACTTACTTTCCATTTCTAGCCAAATCTCCTTGTTCCACTGTGGTCCAAAAATTTTGAGGGAAGCATCAAATATGGACTTCGCTCTTTCATTTGACTTCTACTAGTTCTTCATTCAACTTTCTCTCTGAACAGTTTTAAGATGACTGTGTTTGGATCAGCTTTATTGTTTCAGAATTACAGGGTGTTCCAAAAGTCCAGCCCCCCCCCCCTCTAACTTTTGAACGGTTCGATATAGAAAAATGAAACTTTGGGAATGTTCCTATCTCAAAGGTGACCATCTTTGGGGGGGGGGGGTGTGTCAAAATTTTGGTCCCACCCAGGAGGAGGGCAGGGGGCCTCCAACTTTTTTTTTTCAAATGGCAACCCTATCTTGTGATATCTCATTTGAAAGAGCATAAAAAACTAAGAATTTTGACGCAAACTGCAGATCAGTATCATAATTTTTGACCAATTTATGATAGGTCAAAGGTCAAATTTGACCTATTTTCAAAAAATCATAACTCCGGATCAAATTATCGTAAAGGAAAAAATGAAACGGGAAAATTTACCAAATTGTGTTCGCTTTTAAATAAAAATTGCAGAAATCACTTCGGACCCCGAAATACGTCAATTCAAAGGTCATTCAACTTTCCCGCGAAATAAGGCAATTTCCCTTAGATTTGCCTCCAGATTATCTCAGTAAGGTCAAAATCAGTTCAACATTATGTTGACAAGTCCCCAAATTTCGAGAAAAGTTAAAAAAAAACGAAATTTAAACGGTCAAATTTAATCACCTTAAATTTCGTTTTTTGAACTTTTCCCGAAATTTGGGGACTTGTCAACGTTATGTTGAACTGATTTTGACCTTACTGAGATAATCTGGAGACAAATCTAGGGGAAACTGCCTTATTTCGCGGGAAAATTGAATGACCTTTGAATTGACGTATTTCGGGGTCCGAAGTGATTTCTGCAATTTTTATTTAAAAGCAAACACAATTTGGTAAATTTTCCCGTTTCATTTTTTCCTTTACGATAATTTGAGCCGGAGTTATGATTTTTTGAAAATAGGTCAAATTTGACCTTTGACCTATCATAAATTGGTCAAAAATTATGATATTGATATGCAGTTTGGACTTTTGGAACACCCTGTATATTTTCCCTACTTCAATTCCTTTTAAATCAAAATGTAATGATTTCAGTGTTAATTAACGAAGTAGTTATTTGCTGGTAAGGAATTGTACCATCAAATAGAATGCTATTTGTTGGTACCGCTCCATCAAATAAAATGTTAAAATTGCAAATATTAATGAATAATGCCACCCATTAATTAAATTTAATGATGAGAAGTGCGATTTTCCAATTAAATTTAGTGTTGCTAAAATTTTGTTCTCTTAAACACTGCCAAGAAGAAAAGCTTTTTAAAATGGAATTTTTATGTCCTAATTTCAAGAAAATTTTGTTCGAAAGCAAATTTTTGAGTATTTAACCCAAGTCTTCTGATGAAAGTGTCATGATTCATCCAGTACACATTTTTGTAATTTTAAAAATGAAAAAAACCCTTCAGCGGCAACCATTTTTCTGCAAGCCAGACCCTCCTTCTGCAGGACCCAGAAGGATGTCTACCCCACATTTGTATGAGACTTTTAGAGTAGTTTTTTCAATGACTCATCAAGTCTGATCTCTCACTTGTTCACAGGTTTCCAGATTTATGATGTCCAGATCAAGTGACTATATTGGAATGGCAAAAGAAGGAAACTCTATCTCTAGAGATCCCTGTTGTCAATAATGAATGTGTAATTTTTATGGCTCCATCATCAGCAGTATCTTACGAGCTCTAGCAATCGTAGGAAGCTACCGATGTCAGAGCTACTTCGTATGATCGACGTGACGTCCATTTTGTAACTGTGTGTGTTATTAACAATGTGGTTGGTGCTTGCGTGGTTTTTATCTCGTATTGATGCACCTGGTTTTGCATTCTGATGATAGTTATTTGTCAACAACCTCATTACTCTCTTTCTTGCACAATATCAGGTACTTTGTTATTTGAGTTTGTTATCATTTTTGGCTGTGTTTTGCTCCCTATCGGTTTTCTAACCCTTTATAATTTTACAGAAAAACCAAATTCTCCGGTTCCAAAATTTAGTTACCAAAAGTTACCAAAAATTTGTATTGGCATTGGTAACTTTGTAGTTACGTTTTCATTTTGACATCTCCGTGTTTTCTTGCATTTCTGAAACTCTAATGTCACTATGTTTTGAATTTTATTGCGAGCCTTTTAAAGCGTCAGGGCTGCCACAAGGGAACTGTCACCCATTCATAAAACCACTTTGTTGTCTCACAATGTAAAGGAGACAAGAAAAAGAAAAAACACATAAAGAAGTGTCTAAGACCTTTTTAAAATTCTAACAGAACTCTTCCCCCGCAAGTTGTCAGAAAGCAATTTTCCTAACCATAGCAGTGGCAAATTGTTCTAGATTGCTGAAAAATTTAATTTCTTTATAGTAGTAATGTGGTTTCAGAGCAATTCACATACCCCAAATTAAAAATATAGTAATATCCATTCGAGGGAGAAAAGGGCACCTTTTCAACCTAGCATTCCTAGGGAATAAATGGTTTACATAGCCCTTGCGACAACCCTGATATTATGTATTCTTAGTCTTGTGATGGCCAAAGAAAAATTTCATCAAAATGGCTCATTTATCAATTTTTTTAAAGAATGTAATGAAGATACTAAGTTTTCGAACTAAGCAACAAATGACTAATGACAATACGAAGCCCCTTGCGTTTATTTTTTGTCCCTCTGGCCTGTCTTTTTTTCTTTCTTTTTTGTTTTCACATTACAGTGGAATTTAGCAATAGAACTGGATTTGCATTTCTGCATGAGCTCTTTCTTTTTCTCAAAACTCATTCAGAAATGTAAAATCAGAGCAGCGTATCGGATGTATTTGAATGAGTGGCGATTTTTCAAGTCGGCAACACTGTTTTTCCTCTATTTAAATCCATGGAAAATATCAATTTTTGGTGCGCCAACTGCCTCACCAAGAATCGAGTGTTTTATGTCCTGGTTACACGCTCAAATTCCCATCAATTTCCGATCAAATGGTGACTGGTGCGCACCATCTACCATCAAATTTCTGCGGCGTGCAAAAATTTGATGGTAGATGATGGAGCTGTGGGGCTCATCCTTCATCTGATTTCCACACAACCGTGCTTATTTCACGCTTATTTCAATCAACACACTGTTTTAATTAATTTTACTCATCAATCTAGATAACTCCCGACCGCCATCTTGGTCATCATTTTGATCGGAATTTGACGGAAATTTGAGCGTGTAACCAGGCCATTACATACATATAAATGGAGGAAAAAAAGTGTTGCCAAACTGAATCGCCACTGATTCAAATTAAAAGGGACTGTGTCGATGACGAAGGAACAATATCGCATATCTGCAAACTGATGATTTTGCAGGGGAGAGAAAAAACTTTGCCATTTTCATCATTTTGAGGTTTGATTTGCAATATTTTGTACATATTACAGTGTTCTCATGCGGGATTGGAAAAACTCAAAACATCATCTTGGGTATCTTATGGAATGCGGCAAATTAACGAACTCATTTTCACCAAAATTTTCAATTAGGCGGTATTGTTCCTTGGTCCTCGACATTCATTTTTACATGAGCCGTGTCATGCATGTATTCTTTTGGATTTCAGGGCTCACGTCAGAATGGATATAGTTCCTTTTGATTTCAATATGTTCTATTGTTAAACATTGACAGTAAAATGTAGATGTATACTACATGCACCCTGAGGGCTGTAATTCTCAGTTATTAAAATTTTCTTGCCTGCTCTACGCTTACCAAGGAGAAAAAAAGAAGAGGAAAATGAAGAAAATTCTGTAAAATAGGTGAAAATCAGAACGGAAATGTAAATGTTTCTTCCTATGTGATATGAATATGGATTAAGATAATGTTATAATCATTTTTAAGGGCTGGGAAGTCATCCAGTAAAGTATGTTGTCTGCTTTTAAATTCATCCAAAAAACTTTTCTTTCTTTTTTTTAAATAGCTTGTTAGCAGTAAACCGGAAACTATAAAAAATTAGGATGGGCCATTCCTAGAAAAGTCGAGAAACACGTTTTTCTACTTTGATAATATTAGACTTATTAATTTCTTTGTACTTTGAAAACTTATATTCTTTTTGAAAACAGGTTAGTTTTATTCCTTCAGTATTCAAAGCACCATAATTCTTATTGAACGTAAAGTATTAATTCTTCATCTGGTGCTTGAACATCTGAGAAATATCCAGCGTATGGTTTAAAATGTGTTGCTTCAACGAAACCACCAAATTTAAATTAATCCTTCATATCAGAACCATTTAGTTTGTCAACCTCTTGTTTAAAACCAATTAGAACCAAAAAATTCGTTTGTTTATTTATTGATTCATGTCTTTTTGGTATTCATTTTTGATGTTATCGTAGGAAAAACTGTTGATGAGATTATAGACAGATGCTTTTCTAGAATTCTCTTTAAAGTAACTACATCCTACTTTCTCATGTATATTCCCTCAGGGTGTCTAGTAACTGGGAAAATCTGGGAGATGAAATTGGTCAGGGAGAAGTTGTGGAGAGGAAATGCTTAACGAAGAGGGTTGCGAACTCCCTCAGAAAATTGTGATTTTTTTTACCTAACTTTACGGCACTTTGATACTGAGCCCTGCAAGCATTATCTTTTTAGTTTGCAGTGAATTTTTCCCACAGAAATTTGAGCGTCCATCAATCCACACTGGCACTTTGCGCTGAGCCATGTCTGTTTTTGCGCTTCTTTTGATTTGGAAAAAAAGGACCGAGAGAATCAGGGGAAGTCAGGGAAACGGGAAAACCTGAAGAGTCAGAGAAAAGGGGCTGAAAGTTTTGCTAGACACCCTGTTCCTCTCTCAGATTGATGGCACAAAGGGATGCCCTAAGAATCTCTTCTAGCCATTTCTGCTACATTGACTGCAAATTTTCTTTGTGATGTTTAACTTTGTATTACATACTTGTGCCCTCAGGTATTTTTAGAAAATATCCTATCGGTATATCTGATTTCTTACCTTGTTGTATCACTGAGCTAGTTAAAAGTTTCGGGATTTCTGCATTTTGAGACTGTTCATCGCAGCGCTTCTTTTGATTTGGTCTCATTTTGAAATCTATGTTTTAAACATGTTTACCGGTTAATATTTTTCTTTTTTGTTGCTTATAATTTTGAGTTTTATTTGTTATCTTTTGTTACTATTCATCTTTTTTAATTTTTTTGTTCCCTCTTTTTTTTCCTCAAAATTTTTGTATGAGCAATCATTTTGAGAAAACTGTACTTTTAATTGTCTTGTCCTTCGCTCTTCATGGTTGTTCTGGAGTCTTTTTAAAATCTTAGGTTTAGTCCCTAGCTCTAAAAACTGTAACTTGTACAATCTCATCTGATTTAGGTAAGAGATTAGCATAAACATATGCGGAACCAGAGAAAAGTCATGTATTTTCTATTTGTTTATGCAAAGTGCGGGTTTGCATGTCCTGAGCACACTAGTTTAAGATTTCTACTTTTTTTCCGAATACATGCCTGCATTCATTTAGTCATCTGATCCGTCTGGAGAGGTCTTGGATGTCTCTGAATGACAATTGGACGTATTTCTATCTAACAAAACTATGTGCATTAAGACATAAGCCCTGTGACCCATAAAAATATATGCATAACAGGGCTCATGTCATAATGCACATAGTTCCGTTTCATAAAAATACGTCCAGAAAGGAATTTATATTTTTAAGACAGAAATATTGACATTACATCATAGCCATTGTCGCTTGTTTCTGTCAAACAGAAATACTCATCACAAAGAGAAAAAACTCATCAAGAATAAAATTTCGCCCTGAGAGTTACTCTCTTTGGATTAACAATATTTACTCTTAATGAGTTGTCTCACCAATGGCTATGATGTAATGTTAACACCTTCGTTTCTAATTTGAGAGGTGCTTTATACCCATAATCCTGCTTTGCTAAGGAAGAACGCTGTATGCGCCTTCAAGTGTTGCCATATTTCCTTCCATACTTCCATTAGATAGGTATTCACAGGAAAATTGTGAATTTTTTTCGAGCTCATTAAATAGGAGCTCAAAATACGCAACTTAAAGCTCGTTTTTCATGGCTTAGTATTGTTCAAAAATCGGGGGAAATTTCTGTCAATTATGTGCCCTCTTAAGTTTTCAAAAATGCGGGAATTAAAAGTAACTGAGCAAGCTCATTCATTCTATAAAATATCTTATCATTTCAAGGAAAATCATGCATTACTTTCCACAAAAATACGCCTTTTATGCAGGGAATTTGGCAATTCTTGAATGTTCATGCAGGGTTGTACCTTAGCACGACAGTTTCATCATATTTTTAGGAGTCTAAATATCTAAAGGGGGGTGGGGGTGAGGAGAACTTTAGCGAGAATCTTCACTGCCTCAATAATGTACGGTGTGCTTGTATTTTGTAGTCCTTGTTTTTTATCATGTTTGTCTCTTTTGTATTAATTTTGCGTTCATGTTTGAAGAAATGGGGAGGGTAAATCATCCCTCTGTAGCTATAGTTATTACAATTTAAAATATCCTAAAATTGGCACTAACCTCTTCCTTGAAGAGTGTGACTGGGTGATGTCACGATATCAGGAATAGCTCTAATGTACTACACCTTAAAAATTAAAGTTCACTATTTTAATCAAATTTCAATCATTCATTGTGATGATAGGAAAATTTTTTTCCATCTTTGGCACAAACAATTATGATTTAGTAGCAAGTTATATTGATTAACAAACAAACCATTAAATCCAGAGCCCTTCTCCTTCTGGAGGACAGCTGGAGGTCCCAGCTTACCTGTGGCGGTTCAGCCCAATTGTATTGGTCATGTAACCGACACCTGAAATTGTGAAATAAAAAATGATAGAAAGGATGAAATTTGGTAATTCTTGAGATATAAGGTAGAATTAGTACAACCTTCACATTTTTTAAAACCTTGGGGACTCCCTCTAAGTTTAATGATATTATTTTGAGGATTTAAAGTGTTGAACAATTAATTCTATTTACTTCCAAATCACTCGTTTTTCTTAAGAATAAAGTTTCTTGTGAAGAAATCCGATTTCCAGCAACAGTTGGCTCAACTTGGCTTCAGCAAACAATTTGATCAATTTTTTGAAATCCCTAGCTCCATTTGGCGAGATCGACATTGAACTAAATTCTAAAGCCGAAATGTGTTGCCTTTTGGGATATCTCATCTTTCTCATGACTTTTCTTTCGTTGAAATCAAAATTTTAGTTCAATATTATAATTTTTGTAAACATTAGAAACTAACATAGAAAATATTGCCAGATAATCTATGATCATTTCTGATTTATTACGGAACATTTCTCTTTTGCTTCATATTCGGAGTAGAGGACACATAACCGACTTGACGTTGTTGGTCTTTGAAGGCTCATATTTTTAAATACAATGAAAATTGTTCATGTGTTTTTTGCTTGAACAAGTTCAGGGTCATAATTTCCTTTGATTAATGGGTGATTTCACGATAACTGAAATAGTTTTGCCGCCGTAACAGACAACACATTTTACGGTCATATTTTAGTTGTAATGATAATTGTTCGAATTTTTTTGCATTAATCTACGCAGGGTTACGTATTATAACCCTTCTCAACGATTTATTGCTCTACTTTTCAATTTTAATCTATAAATGGTCGAAAATGTACTGTCTGTTATGCTGACTTTTTACCGCGTAACAGACAGCACATTTTCGGAATTTACATATTAATTGAGAAGTAGAGCAATAAATCATTAGAAAATATTATAATACGTAACCCTCTGAAGATTAATGCGAAAAAATTCGAGTGATTATCATTACTACTAAAAATATGACCAAAAAATGTGTTGTTTGTTACGGCGCCAAAACTATTTCAGTTATCGTGAAACCACCCTTATCACCTCGATTTTCAATAGTTTTACCTTTTGTCGTCCATACCCCTTGGCCACAGAACTATTCCTGTTATCAAGAAATCGCCCAACTAACAATGAGATAACAACTGGCTCAACTAATTTTATTAGTTTGGTCAACTGATGGCCTTAAGATGAGGTTATACCGTCTGTGGAAGAAATTTGGAAGTACACCAGATGCCCTAAAAGGCTTGTCACAAACTTTCACGTGAGTGACAAATATAGCCAGCAAAATGCAAGTTTTACAAGTTTAAAAATTACTTCATTAGCTTTCTCAAAAAACCTCATTGTGCTCATCAATCATAGCTAGCAAAATCCAGCGTTCAATCATGGATTTTCATTCATATTTTTAAACAACAGGCTAAAATGATTTTTTCCCTCTTATTGTAGACTTTTCTGTGCGGAAGGTATTCCCTCACCTTGAATTTGATGCATAGTTGGACGTATTTCTATCAAACGGAACTAAGCGCTATAGGGGGAGGAAGGTAGAGGGGGGCTTGGATTGGCGGCGGAAATGGGCGTCCTGCTCGTTCCGTCCTATACTCGCAATTCTTTTTCATGGCGCTTAGTTCCATTTGACAGAAACACGTCCAATTTTTCCTCCGATCAACCCTGTTGTGGGCTTAAATTAAGTCTGGGCCCTAATTTTGGTGACGGAAAATTGAATCAACCCATTGTTTTCGATCTATGTAATACTTGTGAAGTGAAGTACTTGATGTTAATTTTGAGGGTGAGCAAGTATCTTTTTCTATCCAGAATTAATTTATTTCTGAACTTAGTTCTTGCGGTTTTCAAAATGTTTGATGTACTTTTTCTTTCATGAGTAATCATGTACCCGTCTTTATGCTGTTCTAAGAGAATCATTAAAAATTCGAGACCAAAGTTAGATGGAAGTCTCCTGCTAAATCTTGTATAATGGAAGTTTGAATAAATGCTGTATTTACCTACCTTTTTTGAAGGAAACTTTTAGTAAGTTTGTAGCACCAGTTTTTCCTTGATTTTCCAACAAATTTATGAACTAAAATTATTGTCAGAACCACCTTTTCATATTTTAAGAAATTAACCACACCAGGTCTGAATATTCAACCTGGTCGTTTAATACTCAACTATGAACCAAAGTTGTGACGAATGTTTATAATTTTTCCCAAAAACTGAAGTTGATTTCATTGTTCAAGGGGTTTCTCAAAACTAATATCATAGGATATTTCTAATGATTCACGCGTTTTACAAATTTAACTCTCTGTTTGTCAGGAAGTCTATATTTCCTCTCAAAAATGCTTTCATCCTGAATTTCCTCTAGTTAGATTTTTCTTATGGTTGTCATTTGTTAGGACCATTATGTAATATCATGGATGTGAAAATATATTTTGTTCTTACACTGGAACAGATTGGTGAAGACCGATAGTTCAATACCTATCATTTCTCAATATATTTTTTTTTTTATCAAAGCTTATTTCAGTGAATATTAATTGTTTCTACGTTGCAGCCCAAAATTTTTGATGTGGCAGCTTTAAGCAACAAATATCGCCTCCCCTTACTGAAAAACTGGCTAGCTTTACACCTTAAATAGCTTTTGTCTGTAGGAGTATTTCGTGTGATAGGAAACAAAAATCAAGCAAAATGAAAGTTATAGGGATAAAATCCTTTCTATCTCACAAAAACTAAAACTTTCCCGGTAGGGACTTCTACAAAACTTTGATGTTTTGTAAATCAATGTTACTTGAACGAAGTTTCTTCTGCCTTCTGTGAGATCAAAGTATGTAGTTAACTGCACTCATGTTGAGCTATTTCTCTGTATGCATACTGAAAAGTATATGAATGCAATTGCGTATTTTCTTCGGAAAATACACTAATACACTTTTCGCAAAATTCTAGAGAACTTGTATACAAATGAAATCCATGGTAGGTATAGTACGGCATTTAATACCTTTTTAGTCATCAAAAAAATGTATCTGTGTGAGTAAAACATGTTGATGCCTAACGCTGAGAAGTATGTATCTCAACTTACAATGTTGTAGACTCTCCACCATACTCTCTTTTTCAATCAGATTAGCAATTTCTTAAAAATTTCACTTTATTTGAAAATGAAAGTGAAATTTTTGTTTTCAAACAGGAGTTTGAAAAAGGTGAAGTATCACATTAGCAATTTGTATTTTTCTGTTAAAGTGCTGTAGTAGATTTCTCTTTTATGTATCCTCTTCAACAACACTTTAAAAAATGTAGAATGTATGTTCCTCTTGAATCTAGGCACATGGCTGTACACATTTTCTTCTCGAGTATGAAATGATTTCACAGTAAATTTTGTAGTGTCAACTGTCCATTTAACATTCTAGTAGTAGATATAATTTTAATAATTTCAAAGAATTGATCAATAACTTGTTAGCGACGGAAGCATTTTTAGGCAGAATAATCGGGAGAAAAGAGTTGTCAGGTGCTAGTGCCTGATCTGTCTCTGCATAATGGTTCATGTTCATAAAATGGTTTAAAAGGTTCCTTTTTGAACTGGAGCCAAATAACATGTCGCAGACTTGTTCACTAAGTTATGCGTTCGTGACGTCTGAACCAACAACCTTATTGTTACATTTGTTTCATACTCTCCTGTCAGTCATGTTTCTCTGACACCATCATGAAAATAAGGACATCTTATCCTTGCACTCGATACTGTAGCTAACATGTTGAATTTAATGTTTGGTCACATAAAAGCATTGGACTGTATTTTTGTTTTCCTCTAAAACCAATTTGATGAATTCAAAATTGAAGTGTATTTTTGGTGTGAAATGTATTTGTGATGAGCTTACATTAGTGTTAATGTCTTTAAACTTACTGTTTTTATTTTTTTATTTCCGTTGTAAATATTTGTTTATACACTCTAACCATCTGTACAACTTTCTCAATATGCCTTTGAGTGCAAGAGGCGTTGAGTGGAAAGTACTTATCTCTCTAGTATCTGTCTCAAATAGAATAAATTCATCACCCTTGAAAAATGTGCTTTTTCTTTTTGTTCCTTTTCTTGTAACCACAATTTGGCTGCATCTATGACTATGAACTTTCAAAACGAAAAATGGCGAGTCTATGATAGGGGAAATATATTTGTTCATGAGAAGTACCTGCACAATTTTATGATTTTCAAAGCTGTGAACTTAACCAATAAAAACCTCCTTGAGAACCAATCAAAGGACCCTGCACGCTCCTTATGGGAATGTGCACCAAAATCGATTTTAATTTTTTTATTGCATTAAATTCGTTTGTAAATGCTGAACCAAAGTCATCATTGCACTAATTTTCTACAAGGCACCGTTTTCACAGTATTTTGCAGGGTCCGCTGGAAGTTTAGATAATTACTTGAATGAGTGAGGCCAGCGCGGCGAATCAACAAGGAAAACCCAAGCTGGTGATAGGTAAGCAAAAGTGTGGGAGAGAGAAGGAATCTGATTTGGACAGTGAAACGAAAAGACGCATGGGATCCAAGATAAGACTGCCAGGCTCTCCTCGTTTTCAGTAAGTGCTGAAAGAGAGATATCACCTTGCTGGCCTCACTTATTCAAGTAACAATCGAAACTTCCAGCAAGGACTGTGCAAAATGCTGCGAAAACAGTGCCTCGTAAAAAGTTGACGCAATGATGACTTTGTATCAGCATCCAAAAACGAATTTAATGCAATAATACAAAAAAGTGGAAATCGACCATGGTGCACATCCCCATAAGGAGAGTGCAGGGTCCTTTGTTGAATTTTTCCGCATTTTCAATTTTTGGTTCCATAGACTACGAGAGGCTTGAAACACTTCATTGCTTGCCTAGCTGTAAACACTGAAACATCACCTACCAAATAATAATTGATCTACTGTTCACCAATGAGTTTTGTTCTGATCCTTGTCGGGATGTTGAGGAGAAATAAAAAGATTTGAAAATTATTTAGCATTGAATTTTATTCAGTTTCCAAAAGATGGTAAAATCTATCGTAAATTGTCATGATCACGAGATATAATCAGAGAATTTTGTTCATGCGACTATTTTTTCTTTTGAAGATAAATACTAAGCATTTATATAGATTTAATAAGCATAAACAAAGTACTTAAAACATTTATTTTCACGGATTTGCTGGCTCACCACAATTACAGAAAAAAAGAAGAGAAGAAAAAAAGTAAAGGCTTTCAAAAAAACAAACGAAACTTTGAAAAAAGAAAGAAAATGCTCAGATCAGGAAACGAACGTAGATGAGTATTCAGTTACTACCTTTACGAAAAAGGATAAATCATGGCAGCAATGTGCGCCTCTCTATTTTTTGTACATTAGAATGATTCTAAATATTTGATTCGTGCTAATAAGTCGCGCAGAACAATACGTAAGAGCTTAGAAGCATAAATCAAAACAACTCCGTGGCACTGTTTACTGCACACTGCTGTCATCACTTGAACAACATTTTTAGCCTTAACATTTATATTTATATATATACAAATTCCAGGTTGCTATATTATGGCGCCACTTATAAATGAATAAGGGGATAATTAAAAAATAGAAATAAATAAGCTATAATCTGAACAGAGGATAAACCTGTAAAGAATTAAGAGCCAAGAGGATCTCGGCTTGGCGCCGAAAGTGAGAGACGAAAAAAAAAAAAGAAAAAAGGAAAAACCATAGGAGAACTAGAGAAAAATATATGTATAAAATTAGGAATAATAACTCAAAATTTGTTGCACACAATACATAAAGTCAAAGTTTACTTACAATGTAATTGAAATAATTTTATAATGATCTGAGTAAGGAAATGAAATTGTATAAACACTAAATACAATAAACCTACAAATAAAGCGAATAAAGTTTTTTCTTGTCTCAATCTTGATGAAAGATGAATGAAAAATAAAAATAAACGTTAAAAAAGGGGCAGGGAGAGAGGAAGGGTTGAGGGTTGTAAGTGCAATAGCAAAGAAGTAATAAAAATGTACAAGTTTTAAAATAAAATGAGAAGTTGTGCTTTGCTATTTTTAATAAATGCAAAAGAATACTTCATATTTATACATTTAAATACTTACAAATAAATGTATATTCATTTATAAATTTATCAAATTACAAAAATTAAAAAACACGATAAATTAATTTTTATGGTCCCCGATACCCTCACACCACTTTAAAAATTCAATTTTCATCCGCTGTGAAATATCGTCAAAATTACCTAGGAGCCACAATGAAATTTTAAGGACGAAGCATTCGAAAAAAAGAACAGAAGCAAGTTGATAGGATGGTGGTGTTCGGAAAGGACGAGACCATGAGAATTTTTCGCTTGGTACCCTAGGACCAAAAACAGGGAAAACACCTGGCCCTATTTCTGACAACTCCTGACAAATTTGGATAAAAGCGTATAAAATTCAATAGAAAAACTTAAATTACTTAACAAATTATGATAAAATTGATAGCATTAATCGTGTCATGGTGAGGAAAATAATTGTTAAAATTGTAAAAAAATTAAGTAGAAATTAAAATTGCTGATTAGTCTTCTCCGAGAGAATGTGAGATGCTTCCAGGTCAGAGCTTGAGGGAATCGTGAGGAGACAGGATGAGGAGAAGAGATAGCGGAAGCAGGAAGTGCGAGGAGAGGCGAACAGCTCAATTTACAAATGACGAGGCACTGAGTGATGTTAGCGAGATAAATAAAATGGGAATGATTCACTTGGCTGGAACATTGGCTGAGGGAAAAGTAAAAGAAATGCAATCGCAATGACTTGAATGAACTTTGACGTTGAAGAACACAACAAATACCAAATACAGATAATTAAAGCTATACTTAAGAGTAGAAGAGAACAATGAAAATGTCAAAACAAACATAAAAATTCAGATAAATGACTATGCTAAAAAAACACTCAGTCGTGTAGCCAAATCTTATGATGACCATTTGAAATTTAGCAGTGGTGGGGGAAGGAACTTCGTCATGACATTTATTCACTTGGCATCTTTCTCTTTTTCTTTATCTTCAGGTTCTTTTTCACTTTCCTTCTCGGACTGAAACAGAACAACAAATTATAACCATGAGAAACTGAAGGAGATAAATGCACACGCCCCAGAAATTCCCAAGATCGACTCATTTACTACCAAGCCAATCATAGGGCCCGTTGATCTGTAGGTCGCAAAAGGCAAAAATCGTCAGAAAAAATTGTCATCATCAGGGTTGCTATAGAATTAACAAAAAGAATTTCCCTGACACATTTTGATAAAATTCCTTGACTATTGAAGATTTGTCAGATGGTTGAAAAGACAATCATTTGAAATAGTTTTCAGGCAAAATTTGCTCAAGGCAATTAAGGTGACTCGAGGATTTTTCCCTGAAACTTTTGTAATTTTCCTTGAAATTTCTTAATTGTCCCGATACTCCCCGACTGCGGCAACTCTGTGTATTCTCATAATTTGAGATTTGGATTGACACCTAAGAGGTCAGATTTGAAACTTCCTCAGTCAATTTCTTTTATCAAGTGATAGCTTCTCAGAAATGGCTAAATATTAGAGTCAGAATTATTTCACATTTTCTGTTCTTTTTGCCCTAAAAAGTAGGATAAGAACCGATGAAAAAACACTTTGTACACAGCAGTATGCCATGCGATCACAGTCTTAGACCACACTGATTTTAAATTCAGTAACCCCTTCCTCTAACCAAATTATTACGAAAAGGATTGATGATGTATACAACATTTCAATGTGGAAAAAAGGAAAAATTACGAAAACTTACTTTCTCTTTTCCATTTTCAGCTTCTTTTTCAGCTTTCTTTTCGCCTTCCTTTGCTTTGTCTTTCTCCTCAGGGGGTGGCTTTGGGAGATGTGAGTTCAGGTCCAAGTTTGTGCAAATGTCATCCCAATCTGGGAAACACCTAGAAAAAAAATAATAAAAATCAAGGAACTTTCAACGTTGGGATATCCAACAAGCTTGAATGTGATGAGCAGTTGGAGGATCATATTCTAGTTGGAAGACTGCCCAAGTCAAAAAGAAACTGTGCAAAAGTAAAAAATAAAAATAGAATCATCTTGAGAAAAGCACGATAAATACTCAAACCTCTTTTAAGTCAATGACATGAGACCCTTCCTGAGGATGAAGACCTTCTAAAGTTAAGTAAAAGCGCCCAAACCTTAAAACTGATTTAAAAAGAGAACTTCGGAAAGTAAACCGACAAGGAGGAGGCCGGAGGCCCCTACAGCCCACCTCCGATTTTGATGAAATTTTGGGGGAATGTAGTCTTCAAGGAAACTAGACTGTGCAACCTTTCCCACATCTGGGCCTGAAGAATCAAGGTGAATTTTTAAAAATTGCAACTTTCCAGCAAGTTAACGATTTACGCTAGCAAGCCAGGTGTATGTCACCGGCATTACCGCCTAACGGAAGCCAAGCGAACTGCACTGCTCACTCATAATCTGATTGATTTTCCTTGATGGTGCCATTGAATCCCAGAAAGGACACTTAATTTTAATCCTCTTTTTTCAAACATCTTTTAGGTCAGTACTAATGACTTATGGGTTGCCCGCCAGGTTGGCCTAGCGGTCAGCGCGTCTGACCCTAGACCAATAGGTTCCGGGTTCGATTCCCAGTGGTGGCGACAAATTTTCGAGGAACTGACAAGTGAATCTGCAGAAACAGATTCTACTCGGCCTTAATCCCTAAAAATTTGAAAGCCGGAGCATGGATGTGCCAAAATCCCCCTGATGTCTACTGACAATAAAAAATAATCGCTACATTAAACTCTTGACCATAGATGGCTGTAGATTCTGAAACTGGAATTGAAGAAAAATAAACTGGAAAAAAAAAAGACTTATTGGTTGTGGCTCAATTCTTGAAAGAAAATAAGTATGATCTCAAAAATTCCATTTTGAAGATAATTCAGATCTTAAAAAAAATAGTTTGTTTGCCTGTTTTTGAGGCAAGAAAAAGAAACTGAACACTTGAAGTCTATTGAATTTTTTTCTGTTTTATTAGTGTACCTAGTCACTCATAAAATAATGAATGATCAAATCATCAATCAATGAATCAAATAATAGATGATTTTTTTTACTATCAGTTAGCAACTGGAGTGATCCAGTCTTCTTTGGATTAATTCTTTCTGTTGTACCAAGATATTAAAAATGCAGAGATATCGACAGAAGTTATTTACCTTTCTTTCATCCTATTCACATGACCCACCAAGTTGGCGCAAGATTCGTTCAGGTATTCACGGAGAGGGTTCTTGATTTCTGAGTCCAAGAAGTAAAGCTGAGCTAGGTTGGCGAACACAACAACGTCAAGCTGAAAACAAAGGATAGACATTAATCTTTGAACAGTTGATTAACACACATTTTTTCAGCTACAAGAAGTGACCTCTGGCATAACATCTGAAGTCTCCGTAGACTGCAAAAAAAAGAGAGCTAATTTTTCCGACAAATATGTGGTCAGGATTTTTTCTGTATTACTCCCTGACAAATTTTACCACTTATTTTGAATAGCGCTGCGATAAAATGAGAAATTTTGCAGAGCCATCGAGGGGGGGGGGGGGGGNTTTTTTTTGCTCCTGATTCTCAAAGCTGGTTTTTTTAATGTGACATTGCTAAGTTTAGTACTGTTCAGCAGTAAAAAATGCTTACTGATGAGCAAAAAATGAAAAGTCATCCATCAGAGCTAGTTTTGAACTTCCACTAAAAATTCCATAATAAGCTTTTCTCATGCAGAGGTTCTCTTCGAGCCTCACGATAAAACCTCCACTTCCCTGAAAAAAGAGGAACTTTAAATTTGCTCTAAAACTTTAGAGATTTTGGACTTTGACTAGCACTGAACATGACATTGGTTGAATGTCTGTGTGGCACTTGAATGTATCAGACAAACACGCAGATTTGGCTGCTCCTTGATCGCAAGACGTTATAAGACTAGAAAAGTGTCAGCATAGTCAACTGTGATTAATTCGATCTAAATCTTAACGATTATTTGCAGAAGAGACACTGCCAATGTTGTCAACTGGAGAATATTGGTTAAACTTTAAAATATAGAGAGTTCAAAATAAATCAAAGGGACAGCATTAGCGCATGACCATGTGACATACACTTGCCTCCATCATAAAATCCCACCAACCCAACATGAATCCATCATGAAAAGTAATTTCAAGATGCAGTATTCTCCACACAGTCTAGTGGTTAACAATTCCCAAAATATTTCCATTGAAATGTCCGACTATTTATTAACTTGTTCATCCTTTATTGGAGAGGCACAGGACTCATGACTTAGATCATGATAAAAGCCTCTTATAAGATTTTAAACTCGTTTAATCTTCAGCGCAATAACTTACAGTTGTGGGGTCATTTCCAAAGAAATATGGTTTTTCTCCTAGTACATCTGTCAATACTTTCAAATCGTTCTTTCCGAAGTCAATGATTTCTTCTGGTGTGTGCACACCAATACCTTGTGCTTTTGCTTTCTTGGCACCCTGAAAAGAATGAGAGAATAGTGAATAAAATTCATGATTCAAAAATAACATGAAAAAGAGGTTTTGAATTATTTAATAGATCTATTTTATCCAGCAGCTGGCAGAAATAACATTTCGAAAACGTTGCTAAAACGCCACAACGGTAATTTTGGCGGTAAAGTTGTATTCGCGACCACTAATTGCCAGAGAGGAAGTTACCGATCCCTCCAAAAAACATTGAAGATTCAGGGTCTTTCATGGGTTCTTAAGTTTCTTTGGTACCCATAAACATTTCAGCTCTTGTAAGTAACAATAACAAAGATAACAATAATTTAAAAAAAAAACACAAAAACTCGTTGGTTGCAACCAGCAGATGGGCACAGGCAATTGAATAAAAATGATTGAAAGAGATCACGTCGCACTCAAGTGAGTGCGAAATGAATAAACAGCGTAAGACCCTGTAATGTTGGCTTACTGGTGTCACCAAGATAAAAATGTCAAATCAATTTTTGTCGAAAATGGCATGGTTTATTGAAAAAAGTAATATTTAATGTTTTAAACTGTATTTTGTGTTGAATAACACCAAAATGACAGACAAGACGTCCCATCTTTCATACTTCAGACATCAGATTTTACAGGAATACTGACGCCATATTGTGCCCACCTTACGTACTATGTAAACAAGTCAGAAACTGCGAACTTTTAACCTTTATATCTCTATGACAACAGATGATACAATCGTGAAGATTAAAGATACTCGTAAAGACACTCCTGTAAGGTCACAGTTCTGCTTGTAAAGCGCTTTTCCAAATCTTAAATAGTGAGCAAGAGAGAAGAAAGATATTGGTCAAGCAGTTTTCATTAAGTTGCAGAATATGTATAAATAGCCTCAAGTAAAGATTCGCACTTCAGAACAGTCAGAATTCTGTGTAATTTTCACACAATGTGTCTTTTCTTGTCTACTTTAAACAATTAAAAAAGATTTAAACTTGTGGCTGTAAACAAAAATCACAAAAATATATGGAGAGAAGGAATAAAGCAATTACATTGAAAATACTTACTTTGCGGCAATAACTGAATTTGAAGAAGATATTTAGCAAAGCAATGGGCATTTTTGAGTTTAAGATTGTCTGCAGATTCAATTTGTAACCCTTTACAAAGTCATCGGGATTCTTCGTTTTCCACCACAGCATAACCCTGAACAAAGAAAAGATAACACATGATTTAATTTAGTAGTCTAATGAAGGGTAAGACAAACAAATTAACGTATATTTTTTGGAAAATTGAGGCTGAAAACTGTTCATGACTTCCAGCGAATAGGGACTATATCTTAGGAAAAAATAAATAAATAATGAAAAACCAACGCACTTCTGAACTGACTCACTTCCCTAAAAAAAAGAGAAAAATTGCCCTATTTTATCAATTTTATACGTTTTTTCAGCTTTTAATTTTCAATTTCAATAAATAACTAGGTAACAAAAAAATAAACTACCTACATTCAAGAAGGCATAAAGAAGGGAGGGTATGGATACGATCGACATGAATGGATCGAAAAATGAAAACGTGAATCGATCGACATGAATCGATCAACACCGATTCGATCGACAAAAAGTTAAAAAAACCGGTGTCGATTCGATCGACATGAATCGATCGAAAAATTAAAACGTGAATCAATCGACATGAATCGATCGACAAATTATTGAAAGACCAGTGTCGATTCGATCGAAAAATTAAAACGTGATTCGATCGACATGAATCGATCGACAGTTAATTTGAAAACAACCGTATCGATTCGATCAACATGAATGGATCAAAATGAAAACGTGAATAGATCGACTCACGGGTTTGTCGATCGATTCCACGGGTTTGTCGATCCAATTACGGGTTTGTCGATCGATTCACGGGTTTGTCGATCGATTCACGGGTTTGTCAATCGATTCACGGGTTTGTCGATCGATTCACGGCTTTTGTCAATCCATTCACGGGTTTGTCGATCGAGTCACGGGTTTGTCGATCGATTCAAGGGTTTGTCGATCGATTTACGGGTTTGTCATTCCATTCACGGGTTTGTCGATTGATACACGGCTTTTGTCGATCGATTCACGGCTTTTGTCGATCGATTCACAGGTTTGTCGATTGATTCACGGTTGTCGATCGAATCGGTGTCGATCGATTCACGTTTTCATTTTTCGATCCGTTCATGTCGATCGAATCGATACGGGCGTTTTTAAATTAACTGTCGATCGAATCGGTGTCGATCGATTCATGTCGATCGAATCACGTTTTAATTTTTCGATCGATTCATGTCGATCGAATCGACACCGGTCTTTCAATAATTTTTCGATCGAATCGGTGTCGATCGATTCACGTTTTAATTTTTCGATCGATTCATGTCGATCGAATCGACACCGGTTTTTTTAACAATTTGTCGATCGAATCGGTGTCGTTCGATTCATATCGATCGATTCACGTTTTCATTTTTCGATCGATTCATGTCGATCGAATGCATACCTTCCATAAAGAAGATCTTAAAAAATGCACGAGGAAAGATGTATGCAAAAAAATGACCTGAGGAGGAGGGCTGTTTTTGAGCCCTTCAGAAGGACTGAAGTCTTCAAAGGAATGAACAGGAATAGGAGATACTGTCATCCTCTTTAAAGAAAGAAAAGGCATCTTATACAAATGAAATTCAAAAGGGTTCCAAACCCGGAATCAAGCAAGGGCAAATAAATGGCTACACAACGATCAATGCACCATCACAATAAAATGTGAACCTATTCAAAAATCGGTAATATGAAACTAACCATAAGAAGTGATTTTCAATCATGGAGATCAGAGCGTGAGAGTTATTTTTTTGTTCGTTGGTAAGAGTTGCGTCTAAGTCTTTGCCGAATTTCTTTCCTAACTCTTTGATAATGAATGAGCTATCCGCGATTTCTTCTCCGTTCAATTCGACGAATGGGAGTTGTCCTTTCTTGGATCTGTGTTTGACTTTGTGGTCCACATTCTGCAACAGAAAAAAATGGTAGATTAATAATTTGTGCAACTGATAAGACAAGAAAAATACCAAAACAACAATGATAGAAACTATCTGTCTTCATCACGGTTCAAGTCGGTATTGCAACTGGGGTGCAGGCACATTTTTCATACCTAACTCAACGGGGATCTTGGGATACTCTCCCCTAACTTTCCCTAGTTTTCAGGGGATTCAGGAAAAAGATTCACAAGAACTCGCTGACTAGAAATCGACCGAGAGTTCCGACAGGGTGTCCAGTTTTTTTCATTTTGGGAAATCCTGATTTTTCCTGATTCTTGACTGCTAAATCCTGATTTCATAATTTTTTCAAATCCTGATTTTTTTGTAGAGAAAATTGTAACTTCACGAAAATAGCTCGATAAAAAAATCCGATTGGACGGCCGACTTCTCCCAAATCCTGCTTTAACGACCGATTTTTCCTCAAATCCTGATGAAATCGGGATTAAATCCTGATGCTAGACACCTTGTTCGAGCTCGTTGAAGATGCGACCAGGGTATCTACTAAAACAGGCTGGCCAAAAATCAGTACGTTTACAGTACTTTTTCGGTACGTTCCCAAGAAATTCAGTACCTCTTCAGCAGGGAATTTCAGTACTTTCATTTGACGAAGTTCGAAAGATTTCAAAAATTTGAATTTATCGCTCAAATATTGACAAGATGACACACAAAATCCGGCCCTTCTTGCGGAATTTCATCACTTTCAGTACTTCCGGACCGCCTTTAAAAAATTAGTGCTATTTCCGGACTTTTCGGAAATTCCGGACTTGTAGGCACCCTGTGCGACACCATATATTTCTATATGATAAATTTGACATTTTCAAAACATCCGATTCACAGCCACAAATAATCGGAAAAATTGCTTCACTTCTGGGGGATCGTTTGAAAATCAGAGCTGATCTTCCGAACCAGCAAACGATCAAAATCAAACAATTTGTGTCACATTTCGAAAGCATTGCAAATTTTTTGCCGCTCATAGCCAAGTGAATGTGTTTGAAGGAAACGACGAGTCAATCTGCACTAGGGTACAAGATAGATGCACAGGCTCAGGGCAATAAAAGCACGGAGCACTTACAAAAATTCTTCAAGCTTCCGTTAAGATCCAGAGGCAGTTAAGGTTTTCTGACTCACCTGCTGATAGACTCTTTTCGCAAAATGTGATGCCCATTTGCAGTAGCATTAAACGAAACAAGTCTACCTACAAGAGAACTTCGAGAAAACTCTCCTACCCACACTACAGGCTGTGTCATTTTTTTTTTTTTTTTTTTTTTTTTTTTTTCATTGTAGGTCTTGGGCAGAAATTCGGCCCTAAACCAGCTCCCCAACCCCAATCCAAGAATCCGATCAGGGCGTTTACCAATATTTCATTTTGATTGCGATTTTCCCAATTTTTCCTAATATTTTGGATGAAATTTCTTGATTTTCGCACGAATAAATTGAAACTCGTTGGATTTTACAAAGCAAAATATTTATTGAATAGAATAGCCGATTGGCACATTCAACCGGCGATGAGTTGGACGGAGTTGAAAAATGCATGACGCATTCGGAGTTACCTGATGATCAAGGACCGATTTTCCCGACGGCTCCCTCCGCACGGGCTCATGCTTGAAATTTATAGACAAAGCTACAGACAAAGAAGACAAAAGGGATGCGGGGGGATCTTTTTGGTGGAAGCGGGTGGTTCCAATGGACAAAGGAGGTAGCTGATGGACTAACTATAACGGCAGCCCACGAGAGACCCTATAGTTCGTCCATCATTTTCTCCCTCATGAGACAGGAATAGTTGTTCCCTAATGCAAAATGTAGTTCAAATGACGTCAGGCTTTTTTCTGATTTTTTTTTTTTTTTTTTTTTTTTTTTTTTTTTTTTTTTTTTTTTTTTTTTTTTTTTTTTTNNCCTCTTTGAAAAGGTTTATCGGGCAGTCCTGGATCCCTCTCCTCCCACCGTAGCTGACGTTATCTGGGGAGGGCCCCCAAGATACACAAGTCTAGGGCGGTCACTTATGCCGCAATCAGACGCTGAATTTAGCAGCTGAATGTGGAAGTCAACAGTCATCGCCCAACGGCTGAAATTTAGCAAATTCGAGTTATTTTCATCCAGATGTGCATCAAATCTACTCGAATAGTTCAGACAAATTCAAAATTGGTCCGATGGTTGCTGAGAATAGTTGCTGAATTTTGCGCGTGACGCGCAAAATTCAGGCATCGGGCCGATGACTTCCACATTCAAGCCACATTCAGCGTGTGATTGCGGTGTACGAGTTTTCGCCAGAAAGAGCCGTATGCAAAAACGACATTTTTCGCCCCCCCACTAAAACTTATTCAAACTTCGTCTATCAGTTACTAATACTGGAGCGCTTCTTTCCCCAAATTTTCAGACCCCCAAAAAATTTTGGGGGGGCGCTAGGGGGGGTGGAAGTCAAAACCTGTGAACCTCGATATCTTTCGAACGAAACAAGATATTGGGGCCCGGTTTGGACGAAAAATCGTCTAAAATTGCATACTTTAAGATTCTAAAGGTCAAAATCCCAAAATCAAATTTTTAAATTAACTTATGTGCTTTTTTTCAGTTTTTGAGGAAAAACAATTTCTTTTAAACAGATTAAACTGAAATTTCACATTTTTTGATTTGAACCAAAACCAGTTTTTTAAATTGCTCGTCTTTTTCCGCATCCAACGAGTGGTCGTATAAGCTGGGGAACCGAACGGTTCCGGAGTTATGATTGATTGAAGTTTCTGCTCAACGCGCGCCGACCGATTTTCGCGCGCAAAAAAGTCGGATTTGACTGTTATTAAATCGGATTAAATGTTCAAATTGAGCAAAATGCATTATTAGGGATTCTTGAGGGTCGCTGAGTTCAGAAATTACAGATACTTCCAAAAAATTCACGTTTTTAAAATTACAGCTCCGTACAGGACCACTGAGCGGCTGGTCGGCGCTCAGTGGGCCTCTAAAATAGCGCTACGGAGCTGTAATTTTAAAAACGTGAATTTTTTGGAAGTATCTGTAATTTCTGAACTCAGCGACCCTCAAGAATCCCTAATAATGCATTTTGCTCAATTTGAACATTTAATCCGATTTAATAACAGTCAAATCCGACTTTTTTGCGCGCGAAAATCGGTCGGCGCGCGTTGAGCGGAAACTTCAATCAATCATAACTCCGGAACCGTTCGGTTCCCCAGCTTATACGACCACTCGTTGGATGCGGAAAAAGACGAGCAATTTAAAAAACTGGTTTTGGTTCAAATCAAAAAATGTGAAATTTCAGTTTAATCTGTTTAAAAGAAATTGTTTTTCCTCAAAAACTGAAAAAAAGCACATAAGTTAATTTAAAAATTTGATTTTGGGATTTTGACCTTTAGAATCTTAAAGTATGCAATTTTAGACGATTTTTCGTCCAAACCGGGCCCCAATATCTTGTTTCGTTCGAAAGATATCGAGGTTCACAGGTTTTGACTTCCACCCCCCCTAGCGCCCCCCCAAAATTTTTTGGGGGTCTGAAAATTTGGGAAAAGAAGCGCTCCAGTATTAGTAACTGATAGACGAAGTTTGAATAAGTTTTATTGGGGGGGCGAAAAATGTCGTTTTTGCATACGGCTCTTTGGCGTTTTCCCCCTCTTTTGAATGAATGACGGGTGAAGGAAGGGGGTCGACCCCCCGATCCGCCCACGTCTTATCTAACTCAGCCGGAGATTTTTGAAAACGAGGATGCAAGGAGGAGGCCGCGCGGGATTGCAGCTGGACACGTTTGATGTACCAACATGAGACGAAATGGGGCACTTCCTCCTTCTTGTCGGCTGCCGTGTTGCCAGACTTGCTTTGTATTCCCTCCGAGAGTGAGTATGAATCGGATGGATTTCCGTGCCCAAATCGGCAACGTTGGACGGTAGCTTAATCCTCGCCCATTATTCCATCTCGGCATCCCGAGAGCACGCGTGTGCCACGTTGAATTCTATACTCCCGTCCGAAGGAAAAACGCCGTATGAACCTTCAGGCGTTGCCAAATTTCCTTTGATAAAGCGACAATTTTCCTGGTAAACTTACGGATATTTTCCTTCCAATTCGTCGGGTGATTTCGTTTGCAATTTTACGTAAAGTTCTTGAAAATCTCTCGGAAAAATATGTTTAATATATATTTGAATATCAATTTTTTTTTAAAAATATATTCCTCTACGGTAGTCTTGACACCCGAGCACTGGCACTGAGGGCTGATTATTGAAATCGATAGACGAAGCAATAGACAAAGAGAAAACGGAGCGATCCTATAGGAACTAACGGCAGCCCACGAAGGACCCAATTGTCACTCCGTAATTCTTACCCTGGTCTATAACATCCACTTGCTTCAACTAATAAAATCCCGTCGCCTCCTTTGTCTATAGCTTTGTCTATCAATTTCAATGATCAGCCCGTGGTATCAAAAACGCTCAGGAGAGTGGAAAACCGGAAGTAGGGAACTTCCCGAAAGCTTTCCCAGTAAATCGCTCCCGAGTGCGAGTGACTACCTACATGTGTTTTTTGTGCCCGAAGTTTTCCGGGAAATCAAACATCCCGGAATCCCCGGGAAAGTTCCCGGAGTGGGATCCGTGGACACGCGGCCGGGGAGAACACCTGTTACCGCTCGGATCATGGTCGGGACGGACGGACTGAAAAAGGCGGCGGTTTCCCTTTCAGAGGTGGGACGAGGGACACCCCGGTAGCGTAAATCCGAATTAAAAACCACGAAAAAACCCCGAGTCCTAGGGCTGCCGGGGGAGAGGGGGGGGGGTCCGTCCCGCCGGCGTGGGAGACGACGACGACGACGAGTGAGCGAAGAGTCGGTGGCGGGGAAACCGCGGGAGACGGCCGCGGCGCGGTGGATCAAGTCCACGGGGAAGCTCGGACAAACTTCGGAAACTTTAAAAGCTCATAACTCCGTTCATATAAAACTTTGAGGCTTCAAAAGCGGTTCCATCGATTTCCTCGTGAAATTTACT